CCTGTTAGGGTTCAAACTAGCACTCTATGTCTCTCTTTATGTTTCTTTATGATTCCTTTACTGGGAGTCCCTACAAAATCTCGACGCTGCATGGTAGCCATCCGGGGTGCCTTACTAATCACCTCTTTGTCTCCAATCTTCGGACAGGTGGAGGTATATCTGTGTATTTTGTGCATACTTCCAGTCCTTTTAAACTGAGGTACATGGAATAAACCTACACTGATGTACTTAACAGGTCATCGGCCTTCATTTGTTGGCCCTGCTGATAGTGATGCAATTTTCTGTGAAGCGGGCTAAAATATCTTCACTAAAAATCGGTGTCTGTCAATTACCCTCCCAATCGTCACGCCAAATATCGCTGACCAGCATCTTTTTCCAATGTCGGTCAATATTTACGAAGGTCTGGGGTGGCTGTTCCATGCAAGATAACGTTTCATAGCAAAGAGGCCACTAGTTAGTGCCTGAGGAGCAAGGAAGTACGTGGCGTTTCTTCAGAGGACTTCAAGGTTCACGCTCGTCCATCAGCTCTCGCGAATCCACCTGAAACAACCTCAGCTAAAATATTTAGGGGCACCTTAAATTTCGCAGTTTTGTCCAGTTTCGTCAGCTTTATGTTGTGAACAGTCATCCAAATTCCTATACCATCTGGGTTTCTATCGACATTTGTTTCCATCCATTGCATCCACAACAAGAGAAGGAATTATGGTGACTGTGAACTCTTGACCTATGTTTATTAGGTGGGGTAGTTCAATTTCTGAAAGATCTACTATTACTGACTACAATACGATCATCTAGCACACTGTGCCTCCCCAGTCATTTTATACAGTGGTCTCTAAAGTCAGCGCTTTAACTTTACGTACGTCAATAACTTTTGAATGGCTAACATCCAAACTACCCTTTCTAGAGCCTCCCCTGACCTTCGAGCAATTCACAAATGTATTCTTACTTTTTCAGGCTTTCAGTAGACTATTCGGAGAAGACCAGTGCTGGAAGATAGCACATTAACTTGAACATATCTGTTGCACGAATAACCTCTGCATCTGCCCAAAATTCCAGGATGTTTTCGCAAAAAGGTGATCAACATTCCTCACTGGACCGCTTTTGGTTATGACGCTTTAAGAATCCAATACCTTTTCACTTTTAATGTTTAAGAACGTCAGGGTTAGTGGTTCTTGACTCAAAATATCAATTTATACGACAAAAGCAATCAGTCAGTGATGAAGATTACATACTCACAATGAATCGAAAATACCCCCAACAAAATAGTCCAAAAATAACTATCAGCAAGAGTCAGATCAAACACCGGGAAGGCCTCAAGTAGATGGCCAAATCAAAACGTAAACAGTGATGGCTTCCTATACTATCTTGAGCCCAGTCAAATAACAGTGACGGTAAAACGAAACTCCGAACTTGGCAGGTTGCAGTTGAACTAACTGGACTGCAAAAGACGAATCCAAACATAGTTTTGCCCAGATTTGGAAACTGATATGAATGATAAAACGGCAATAATAATGATAATGTACATATTTCATACAACATAGGCTACATGAACGCAAATCAGTTTACAGGTTTGATCATTTTGGATATGAGAAATGACTACTATGCACAGCGTTAAGCTATATATTAGATGCCATCATTCGTGGCATATAAAAGGTGTGTTGAAGCAGGCTCAGTTGGAAATTAGGAATTATTCGTTTGTTGTTTGAATCTTCCAATATTCTTGAAAGTGGGGCAGGCGGTACAGTCATGACCTTGGGGTGTGTGCGTTCATCATAAGGTTTTGATGGTAAGGTGCACACTGACAAATGCGATTTCTTGGATTCCATTTGAATGCGGGACTGGTTAAGTAAACCTGAAAAGTGAATAACAAAAGCAAGCAGCAGGCGAAATTCGAAACAGGAGCACAAAAATACGCTGGAGTAGATCAACCATGATACATCCTGGTGAGTTCCCTATACTGACTGCAAAACTTACTTGAAGAAGTATCCAGATCCAACTGTTTAGAGGTGAGCTTGGGTGGAGGAAGATGAAGGTGCACAATGCGGTAATGAAAATTAGTCTGAAGCCGAAGATATCACTACGAAATAGAGAGATTAGAGGACATGATCCAATGCAGAAAGAAAAATATTGCGGTAGGGACAAACATAACTTCGAGTGTCCCATAAGGGAGATTTTCCTGTTGTTTTCCGCTGGAGTGTTACCGAGTAGTCGTCTACACAACCGCTCTGATCGACTGCGTTCTTTATTTGGGAGCCCAATGTTGTGAAACCCAATGCAGCCTCGCTCTTAGCCAAATTTGTGTGAGAAAACAAAACTGCAGAAATGAGTGGTTGCATTGCCACTGCCTTCAGGCCATTCCCCAACCACGAAAACTAAGCTAATCCCGGCCATCATCAGGCACTCACGCATGAAAAAAGTTTCCTAGATGTTGGCGGCAGTGGCTATCTGTGACCTCCGAAATTTCAACACCATCATGTCCAAAAAGGAACAACGATTTAGACCACTAGGAGGCAAGCCAGCCTTCATTCTTGAGTAAATATTCGAATAGCACACGGAACGCGCTGGTCTGCACCGTTCTGAAAATAGTTGTTGTGGAAGGTACCATCTTCCGGGCCCATTTGCCATTGGCACCCTACGTTTTTTTATTTTCGTCTTGCGATTATTGACAACTTGCGTCCAAGTCACCCGATGACCTGGGTAAACCATGAATTTCCCTCCAGTTCCATAAGGCATCCGATTTCCATTTCCTTATTGCGATGGGGACATTAATTCTTAATTATGCCTCGCGGGACCATGATAATATCACCATCTTCATGTTTACATGATTCCTTATTCGCCTTGGCGTCCTCTCCAGAAATTTGTTTCCGTGTCCGCCATCCTCATGCTCTCGGTTTGGCTTATCTGTGACCATTGCCTCCAAGTCTGGTATGGATCCTATACTCATACAAGATTCCATGTTCCCCTTGCAAGGCAGTGGTTGTTGGTGTCCAGTTAAGAGAAGCGATTGCTGAACATTCACTCTGTCTGTCTACGTGCACCACTCCTAGTGTTACGCGAGCTTTTGAGACGTCGGAGCAAGTGAGTGGTCCACTTTTCTCGTTCACAAATTTCGGCATCCTCACTGCGGTGGCATGAAGCGTTTCTGAACGCAACTCATCTTCATGCACGAACACTGTCGAAAAATTGGGGGTTTGTCAGTTCTGATGGTTTCCATAGTGCTCGTTGGTCACTTTTAAAATGACATACTCTCGGAAGGATATCACTGAGTTTGATCCGACAAGGCCCCAGCTTGCATACCACGCCAGAGGGCATATATGAGAGTGAGACCTAACTTCCTTCCACAAGCAGTGTGTGCCATATGGAACTCCCTGCGGGGGGCAGTGGCCATAGCCACATCAGCTGACTTCTTCGAATGACTGTTAAGTACATGAGTGTCGACGGTTTGCTGCGGGCGTTCGCAGGTAGCAACTGCATATATGCTCATCCACCCCTTCATTCCACTAGCCCTGGTATCGGTAATTAGGCCCATCAGTTCCCGATATTATCATTAGTAATGATAGCTTTCTAAAAACACTTTACACTCCTCCCTTCACATTCACCACTCGCCGTATTTCCTGAAGTACTTTTCAAAGAAAACCCAGTAATAATTCACAGATGCCTGAAAGAACAGTAGGTGCGAAAGGTTGTTTCATCGCATCAGAAATCCAGTCGCTCCCTGAGACAAAACAGCCTATACCTTGCAAAAGGAAACCTCAGGGTAAACAACCACTTTCTCAAAGTCTATGAGCATTTTGGTTGCAAAGACCACAGGACGAGTATGACCGGGTGAAAAGAGACGAGCTTCAGGACCTGGAAGTGAGAGCTCAAACACTAAGAGTTTCCTCCACTTGTGTGCTCCCTGTGATGGCTTGCCTGACCTGTAAAGATCGACTCACGGAGCTGAATCTCTTCACTTTATCCTATCACAAGGAGAGGGGAGGTCTAATCATATTAGACAGAATTCCAAAAAAATGATTTTGAACTTGATCTATCTTCCCTTTTCCTTCCTACTAGGTCGGGACAGCTAGGGGGACACAGAACGACAATAGTCTCCATATACTTGTGAAAGGACGTAGCCATCCTAGAACGGGTACGGAGAAGAGCTACAAGGAAAGTGATTTGGCTACGGCGCAAACTGTACCCAGATCGCTTGGTTGCTCTTCAGCTGCACCTAGTACGATACCGGAGGATCAGAGGGGATGTGATCATGATGTACGACATAGCCCATGATCCCCTCCATCATAACAGACCCCTTCCAATCTTTGGTCGGGAACGCGACCTGAGGGGTCACCTGTTAAGAATAGATCATGCGAGAGCACGTACAAAGATCCGTGCTAACTCATTTGTGGTTAGAGTCTGTAAACTGTGGAACTCCATCCCTTCAGCAGTTGTTACAGCCCCATCCCCTGATGCTTTTAAAAGGAGGTTTAAAGTACACCTCGAATCCTACGGCATCGATGGGCGTACTCGAGAAGCTTTCCATAGATCGGATGCAGTTTTTCAGAACCGGAAAGATAACTGTGACCATTCCAAACACAGAAAGTATTCCAACAAGGCAGACGTGGAATCCAAGGAACCACCGTTCACTAATTCTACAACACGAAGTTTGAAGTTTGAGTACTGGTTCTCGAGTCGAGTAAATAACTGGAACTGACTCCTAGAAGAGGCGGTGTCTGCATTGCTTGTTGAATCATTCAGAAGGGGATTGGATAAGCACAGAAATCTAATGGAAAAAGATTAACATAGTCTCACGACCTTCTGTCTTGAAACAGTAAATCTGAATCTGTACTATTCCATCTGAGCGGTTACCACGAGGACCCAATATCTAAACACAAGAAAGGGGAAGAGACTTCTACATGTAGCCCATGAATACAAACGGAAGGAAAATAGACAGCTCCAGGAAGAAGACACTTCAACCTTGGAAATGTCATTCCGTGTTGCGCAGTAAAAGTGTATTGAAACAATTGCATATGCACTGGAGATGCAAACTTTCAAAATGAATACGACCTTGGGGTTTTGGAAATTGGTTTCTCCCCATGTAGGTTTGACTCCAGTAAGAACTTCTGGATAGTTTATAGCATTTCCTTAGAATTTGAAAACTTCATACAGCTTGCTTTCTGCGCTTAACTCTTTCCAGTGCAATGTAGGCATCAAAGGTACATGTTAATGTTGTATGTATGATTGTTCAGATGCATGAAATCCGGATGAAATTAAGAAGACACGACGCCAGTCCTATCGTAATGGCGCGGGGTCGAAATTTAATTGCCATGTCAGCCCTCTCTACAAAACTTAGCTGAAAGGTTTTAGCTAAGTTTTAGTGATTTTAGTAATATCATTAAAATCATTTATAGAAGTTATTTTAGTACTGCTGATTAGTAATACTTATAGAATTTGAAGTCAATAGACCGTATTTCGCAGTTTGATCTGTGCCTTAGTAACTATTGATGTATAAATACTCAAACCAAGTTGGGATTTGATGGTTTGAAAAAAATTAGTTATTGGATAAGTGGTATCCATTATTTTGGTATTTGTATTTCCAAATGAATGTAAAACAGAATAAATTTGTTCCAACTGACGGTTTGCTATTTAATGCTAATAGCTTCATCAAAGTTATAGTAAACCGGAATTACAATATCCAACATATGATAAATTGATAAGTGTTCTTTTTCATTAGTGATTCTGCGTAGTCAGATTTTAGTATAAAGATGATATCCATGTGTAGTGCATTATGTGTGAAGGGTGTATGAAGTTTGTGTGTACGCATGTGTTGATAGTTCTAAATGTATGTATGTTGGTTGCCAGAATGTAGAGGTGGGTTGAGACCAGGTCAAACTACGTTTTACTCCCTCATTCTTATTTCGACAATTTCGATTCCACTTAATGTGATTAGGTCCTGATATGTGACGTTCTTTATAGTTTCCAAAGCTTTTCTGAATTGTTTCGACACTATCAGAATCCATCTTGTAACTTGAGATTATATTAGTAGAGCTATGGCTGATTTGCCTCTAAATCTTTTTAGTTCCACTGGATTTATAGGTGGTCGAGTGGGAGATCTTCTTTGTTCATTCCTCCTAGTTTTGATTTCACAGAAGGTTTGTCCTATGCATATTGCACCATAGTTTGAGTATTTTATTTTATAAACACAATTAACTTGTAAATCTATTGGGCTCTCGTCCTTCAAATGAACTAAGGTGCTCTGCGATGTGTTTGATGTTCTGTAAGACACTATGACGTGTTTGTTGAGTGCTATCCTAATTTGTTGAGGCCCGTGATTTAAGAGTAGTTCTACGATCTAATTTAATTTAATTTTCTATTTTGCTAATAAACTATTTTGTTCATGTATTTCAATTCCTTAACTCTTTCATTTTTATCCCTTAGTGGACTGTGTACTCTCCTTAAAAGGCGCGAGGCAAAAGAAACTTTCTCACTAATTGGATGTGAGAAGTTGAAATCTAAATATTTGTCCTTATACGTTGCTTTCCTAAAAATGGTTATACCTTAATGTCCATTTTCTTTCCTCTTAACATGACAAGGAAAGGGGATTGTCCCTTATCCATTTCTTTTTCTGAGCTGAACTTGGTACTGAGAGATCTAGAGTTCATCTGATCTAGGAATGCCTGTTATAAATCACGTTTTAAGATTACGAATGTGTCATCAACACATTTCTGCCTAAGTTTCTGCTTTAGTAAGTGGGTGAAGACACTTTCCGGACTTCTGTCTGGATTCGCCCATCAATAGTTTAGCTACTATGAGTGAAACAAGGGAACCCATAGCAACACCGTTAGTTTCTTTGTATAGTTTGCCTTTAAATGTGAAGTAAATAGTCTCTGAACAGAATTTTAGGGCCTTGATGATGTCATTGGTATTCAGTAGACATCTTTTTGTCAGTGTTGTGTCTGAGTTTAGTAAATCAGAAATAATATCTGGGTTATCAATTCTTTATATACTAGTGTAGTGGGCGCTGCTGATCAGAATGGATATAAGTAGTATATGTTGAGAGGGCGGCAGAAATCATAGGGAATTACCAGTAATGGGTAAAGATTCTGCCCAGAGAAACGCAAGAGATAATGTCGACGTATTAAGAGCGAATCAAGATAGAAGCAGAAGAGGAAATAAAGTACATTGTGCGAATGACTGTCTTAGTGCAAGGTGTACCATATTTGATGACTACTGTATGAGATGCCAATCATAAACATTCCTTCCTGTCTCTATTTTGTCGTTTCCTACAATTCTCTCCCAAGTCTTCTCATCCACACGTTCCACGGCGTCATATGCCTCTTTCGCTCTACCCCCCAGCAAAGTACCAAGCACCATGACCTTTGCCCCTGAATTCCGGACACCCGCCAGCTCCACGACCGACTCGAAGTCCTTGAGGAAGATCTTGACGTCTCCATCCTCGAACACTGCAGGACACGAAATCTCCGTCACGTCCAGAAGCAGCGACACTAATTGTGGGAAACGACAAAATAGAGACAGGAAGGAATGTTTATGATTGGCATCTCATACAGTAGTCATCAAATATGGTACACCTTGCACTAAGACAGTCATTCGCACAATGTACTTTATTTCCTCTTCTGCTTCTATCTTGATTCGCTCTTAATACGTCGACATTATCTCTTGCGTTTCTCTGGGCAGAATCTTTACCCATTACTGGTAATTCCCTATGATTTCTGCCGCCCTCTCAACACATACTACTTATATCCATTCTGATCAGCAGCGCCCACTACACTAGTATATAGAGAATTGATGTCATAGCTTGCCATAATTTCATCATCAGTTTTAAGTGGAAAGAGTTTGGATTTAAAATCAAGTGAATCCTTTGTTGCATATTCTGAGTGCTTTTGTAGGGTTTAAGTATTAAAGCCAGATATGTAGAGATAGTATGTGTTGGTGTGTTGGCGAAGTCCACGATTGGTCTCAGTGGGATGGAAGGCCTGTGAATCTTGGGTAGACTGTAGAATCTTGAAGGTGTGTATGACTTAGGTTCGAGCTCAAACCGGATTGAGCTGCCAACTTTGGGTTTCAGTTCTTGAGGTAGTCTATTCGTGTTTAGTTCCACTTTGTTCATTTCGGCGGGTTTTCCCTTTTCATCAGTTAAAGTGTACGGTACTTCGGATAGGTGTTCACTTGATTTCTTATAATCTGTTCATAATGACTGTTATATTTACTTTGTCTGCTTTTGTTATAATGTTCTTGTTTTTCCTCAAATTTTTCAGGGCTTGAAATTCTTATTTACTAATATTAGAAGGTGTATTTCTTTGGGTTACGAGGATATGTGAAATTTTATGACGTACAATCTGTGCTTCGTCGTTAGGTAGGGACTCCAAAGCCGGCTCGATGATTGATGCTATCTCATGAGTCAGTAATGACTTTCGGTTAACTATAACTTTAATAAAGCTGTTAGCACTAAGTAGTGGAACGTCAGTTAAAACAAATTTATTTTGTTTTGTATTCATTGGAAAATAATAATACCAAAATAAAGTATTGATTTATTCCATTTATTCCTGACTGGAGAAAGTTAACCTCCATTCCCACCAAGCATTCATCCATTGGTTATAGACTACTCACTGAGAGAAAATCCTAGCTAAACCCATATATGTGTTTGGTAATTTGGTAGCGGTGCTTGTATTCGTTCGCATTTTAAGCTATTATCTGCTGCACTCCCACTTGTTCAGGAGTTACTTTAAAAACGTTCTGTCGTGTCTGTTACAAAAAACCGCTGTATCTTCTAAAGACTTTCTTATATCCACGTTTATGAGAAGTGCGTTATTACTTGCCGTTCTTATTTAGTCTTTCCATTTTTATGTGTAAGATAGAGAAGAAAGTATTGGAGAAACTATCTAGGCTCCATCCAAGCAAGTCCCCTGGCTGCAATAACCTGAGACCGGTAATCCTAAAAAACAGCCGAGGCACTCGCAAAACCAATCTGCAACATCTTCAGCCACTCGCTCGTGTTATGCAAGTGCTCATTCTTGTCACCAATCTTCAAGAGAAGAAACGGAAAAAGTCCTGACAGTTGCAGATCGATCTCCCTATTCCCCATACTGTCCAAAGTATTAGAAAACCTGATAAATGACGGGATGTGGGAATTGCTTAATAGGGGGAACACCGTCCATAATGCTCGGCATAGCTTTCGGAGTGGTCGTTCATGCACCACCAACTTGTTGACTGCTTGAGACGACTGAACATCTAGCTGGGACAACAAAAAACCAGTACATGTTGTTTTTCTCGACCTACCTAAAGCATTTGATAGCGTTCCAACCACAGTCCTACTTCACAAGATCATGTCGGCTGGTTTAAGTGAACCTCTGCTCTCTTGATTCAGAGAGTACCTAGAAGGGAGGCAGTACTGCACCAAGGTAAACAGAATACGGTTGGAGTGGAGACCATCGACATCAGGAGTATCCCAAGGAGCAATCCTGGTACCACTTCTGTTCCTCCTGTTCGTCAACGGTCTGCTACACAAAATCTCACATATCCTTCTCTTCTCTGGTGACATTAAAACGTGGAGAGTAGTAAACGAAGAAGTCAACTGTACAGCATTTCAAAATGACCTGTAGCAAACTGAATTTTTGTCTTGGGAAACCGGCTTCAGCTTCAACCTGAAAAAAGTGCAAAGTAATGCACACCAGTACCTATAAGGCAAAAACAACCAACTTCCAACACATGTTAAGCAACCTTGCTATCACCAGAGTATCCAGGGAAAAATATTTGGGGATCGACTTCTCAGACGCCCTGAACTCCAGCTCTAACTACAAAGACAAGGCAGTCAGAGTTAGCGCCACCTTGGACTTTCTGCGTAGACAGCTTGGTGCCCTCACTCCTGAACCGGTTCTCACAGTGTTCAAATCCTACGTACGGCCACCCCTGAAGGTATTCAATACGGTGGAATCCCAAATACTCAACAACAACCCTAATCTCCTTGAGAAAGTACAAAGATTTGCAACAAAATTACTTGTAGGACTAAGGGGAAGGCATATTCTGGAAGACTGAAATACCTAAACCTATTCACCTTGGGCTATCATAGAAAAACAGGTTACCTTATTATGGCCTACAAGATCATCCACCCGGAAAACCACGCAAACAACCTAGCCTTGCCTGTAACATGGCAGTCATCAGGAGGAAACCCCATCAGGATAGCACCTCAGAGAGCTAATGCTAGGCTTAGATCTAACTTTTTCTCCTTAAGAGTATGTGCTTTTTGGAATGGCCTACCCTGGGATGTAGTCACAGCCCCCTCGGTAGACTCATTCAAAAGACGCTTAGACATTCATGTCATTTCGCTTGGCTTGCCACAGACTGTTAGGGATGCCGATATCCTTTATATTCCACACTTACAGTCTGGGTATATTTGAACTGTTTCACTTCCCGCTCTTTTTCCTGCATATGGGTCATATTTCATATGACCCACTAGCATTCTGATTGGGTCCTGCCTCTTTAAATGTACTAATGATTCCTTGTCTTCCAAGGTTATTGTAAACTCTATAAATAGGCTCGGTTTTCACTCATAAACCCTTCAGTCCGAGATACTATAAACTCATCTGGTTTCCAGTCTTTTGATTTCTCTTTGCGAATCACTTGAGTTGAGTCGTTTCAACCCTTGGCTATCAATAGTTAAGTATTTCCGTTTTTATTCTTACAACTCCATATCATAACACTTCTCTAGCAATTAGATCCATGCTATCTACCTTTATCTTCCAGGAAATTCCCACATTCGTTTCCACTATCTTGCTATTCCTATTCAAAAACGTACACAGAAATCACGAAAGATCCTTAATCTTCCCAACAACCTGTAGCTCCCTAGTCACTCTGCGAATTGCAGTCTACTAGTTTAAAAAAATCCACCTCACCGGAGCTAAAAGCGAGAAAGCAGAAGAGGTTTCCTTGTCCACTACAGGAGCAAACCAAACAACATGAACCAAGAACTAGACGGGAGAAATCAAAAGCTATCAGTTTTCTACGCTCATGTTATGAATTTTGCATGTTGTTGGAGAACTCAATGCGCTACAATATTTTAGGCGTTTTAAGTACATGATGGTCTCCCCCTAGAACAGATGCTGTAGTGTAGAAGTTATCTTAATTCTCAGGCTTAAATGTCTGACCCTCAAGACAGCGAAATAGCAATAGAATTCGAATTCTTTTGGTAGCCGGCGACCGTTATGTTTAAACATCTCTAGTTTCTTCAAGATTTCACACTTCATGTTAGCTATTTAGTTGAGGATCAGGACTTTTAAACTGGCATGGGTAAACTTCCCAAGTCCATAAATCACATTTTTCCATCTGTTTCGTCCTTATGATAAATTCCCGTACCACGTCAAAATAGGTGATAATCATATGGTACTAGTTGGGTATTTTGTGTCAGTATGTGAGAATATTTCAAAGGGTTGAGAGTAATATCCACTTTCATCCATATGACGGTGGGAAATAAATTATTGGTGCATATTGTATGGAAGTAGCATTTCCTATGTTCTCAATAACAGCATGGAACTTAGGATTTTTAATCTTGATTAGGTATTTAAAGACACTAGCGAATTTCATTAGTATGAGAATAGAATTTGAGCACTGTAGTAGAGTAAGATTCTATAATAGTTTTTTTGTCACAGTGAACTAATGTTATTTACTAGCGACCGAGTTTATTTTGCTTAATTATGCCAAGGTAACCTCAGTTTTCTAGCCTAGTTTTGTAGTTCTATTGTTTTCCGTTCTTTGATTTAATTAACAAAAAAATATTTCACACTTCCGGGACCGGTGTTGCTTAATTTCTCTTACATACGTCAGGTGTCCACTCAACAAACGAAGCTAAGGTAATCAGTCTCTTCAGTTACCCAAATTACTTTTTGATAGTTGTCATTTTATACCAATCTATTGTGTGATTGTGTAACCACGTGCATAGTTATGCTTGAAATCTTTCCTGCGTTTTTCATATTGGAGTCTACTGTTGTATATTTAAGTAGATTTCTGTGTTCAAGGCTAATTGACCCTAGTTGGCTAGTTTGACCTATCAGTGAAATCTACAAACAATCGAATTAAAACCACCTGGAAGATGTAAAATAAAACGTGGGGTTGTGTGACCGGCACTATTTTCCTATGAATCATGAATCTGATTATACTCACCTGTTAGTTAGGTATTTGTTGGTAGATAGGTCCTGTCAGTTTTATACTGCTTTTTAACTGTTCGTATGTGGTTTTCATGTGATAAAAAGTAGTGGTAACATTCATTGAAGTAAAGCATAATTCTTTTATTTTTAGTCTTTTGGAATATTTGGAAAAATTAGATTGCTGTCTAGCACTACCAATGTAATCACAAATGCTAATTTGGATGCCCCAGCCGGATCTAAACACTTTTTGAGCTTAGGCTTCCATCAAGAGTTCCCAAAGGCATGCTATGGTGGTCGTCATACTGTCGCAATGCTCCTCGGGGATGGTGTTGGTCCTGAACTTTTATCATACGTTAAAGAAGTATTCCAAGTCGTTGGGGCACCAATAGACTTTGAAGAAGTTTTTGTTAATCAAGAGTCCGAAGATGCAACGTTTACAGATGCCCTACTAGCTATGAAGCGCAACGGTGTGGGAATCAAAGGAAACTTTGCTACAGAGCCTGGTACGAGTTCACTTTTGTTGTAAACTCATCCACTAAAACAATTCTTAAACTTCAGCATTTCCAATGGTTCCATCTGCTGATCTCTTGTTTCGTGTAGTTTGATCACCATTAAGTTGAGGTTCGGGTTTATCAACAGCTGAATGTATAGAGCGAAGGTAGATTTTACACACGATAAGCAAGAGGACTGTTTTTAACATTTTTTGAAAACATTTTTCACAGAAGGATAACTTTTCTTGAAACAGTGTCGTTATGCATCAAGTGTACTACAGCGAGAGCAGTTCAAACAAAAAGTTGAATAATAACGGAACATCAGCGAATTCAAAAAAATGCAATGTGGATAAAAGGGAACTAACTATTTGGATTTTGTGCATGTTGAGAAGAGTCGTCAGTTAAAGTGTGTAGTTATCAAGAGTTGTTTATAACCAAAAGAAATCTTACATTTCAGAATATAATGGTATTGTTAAGTTAACTTTGAAATTGTTTGTTATGGGGAGCTGTTCCAGTGTTCTCCAGCCATTCTCCAATTGTACTTTACCCAGTCAGATTGTAAATGGAGCGTTGTCACAGAATTTCAAGCGTTTGCAGAAGTTGAGAAAGTTACAAATAGGTTGGTAAACTTCGACTTTCATTTCCGTTCCTTTTAAATAGGCCTAAAAATAGTGGTTCACAACTCGCATTTTCATATTCACATGTGAATTCGGCATGTGGAGAATGATTATTAACTGATATAACAATTTCTGAAGGTTGATCTTTTTAAAATTACAGACTTATCACCTACGTATCTGAGCCAAACAGGTGGTTTTGATAGCATCGGCAAAGATCGTGGATTCAATGCGACACATGAAGAGGTCTTTAACGATAGTAAACACCCAAGAACCCATTGCTACTCCATTTATTTGTCTATATCATTCTCCTCCAAACACTAAGAGTGACTCATCGGTTGAAAGTCATCTCCCTGAACCAATGAACCACAGCTCCACAAGTCCACTGTCGGTCTTACAAAAACAGGTTTGTGAACTTTTAAAAATCCATAGAAACGGGTTGATGTGCATGATTTTGGATATAGTCTCTGACCTGTTTCCATCTTTATCTCTTGTTCATCATTACTGAACACTTCCTGGATCCAGTTCCTTCATAGGGACCGATTGAGAGATATTCAAGTGTTTTACGGTCATAATCATCGGTTTTGTTCATAATCACTCTTACATTCCCTTTATCTGTCTCAGTGATAACGATTGTTTCATCTTTTTGTAGATTTTAAAGGGCTGAGCATTCTTTCGAAATACTCGGCGTTATATATATATATATATATATATATATATATATATATATATATATATATATATATATATACTTTTGTAGAATTTGAGATGTTTTCGGATGGGAGCCTCTTTATGTTGTAGTCTTTCGATTACTGGTTCAATAATCGGTGCTACTTCCAGGGTGCTGAGTGGCTTCTTCAAGTTAGAACTTAAACCCCTTCTTAGTAGTGTAATCTTATGTTCTGATAGATTTCTGTGGGATAAATTGTGGACAACCTTTAGATTGAGCGATTGGTCTTCATATGATGACGTTTTCCTTCGTGTTTTCATTCTTTCAAGCTTTCTGATTTCTCTACATTTGGATATTTTTAAATAGTGGTTTTTTATTTGGGTGAGTGTAAAAACAACTGCATCATGAAAAGAACAAATTTAATTGTCATGTAAATTTTTTATAAGTTCACGATATGCCTCCAAGTTAACGATACATTTGTGTATACTTTCTCTGAGGAAATGCGTGATGTACGTTGTGCTGCTTGAATAAAGTGCCAAGAGTGTTCCAGAGGTTAAACATGTAGACATTTAGGTATCATACCAATATGTAATTTAATTGTCACAACTATTTATTTTGCCTAAATGATATTAAACCTGAATGTCTACACGTTTAACCTTTGGAACGCTCTTGACACTCTATTCAAGCAGCACGACGTACTTCACACATTTCCCTCGGAGAAAGTATGCACAAATGTATCGTTAACTTAGAAACATATCGTGAACTTATAAGGAATTTATATTGTCTGTAATATTTACACTTGTGTTCGATGTCTCGTTTGGTGATTAAGGCTGTTATTACACCGTAAAGGACATAAGTGAATGTTTTTTTCCTGGTAGTCGAATCTTACATTTGTGTTTCAAACATAATATACAGGTCAGTCATCAAGGAATCTGGCTCTTCGCCTGAAATTGAATTTGTATGCGTTTGTTCAGCGATGTCACAACTTTCCAGGTGTGCCTACTCGTCATCAAAATGTTGATATCGTTATAATACGTGAAAACACAGAGGGCGAATACAGTCGTGTAAGTTGGTGAATTTAAAAAAAGTCATATTAAATATATGCATATAATCATTTTGACTATCTCAGATAGCCGTGGTTTGACAGACTAATATTAATACTGGGTGATGATTGAAGGTGAAATGAAAATTTCGACCGCAGCCTGATTCGGACCAGCGACTACCGAGTTTCCGACCCGATGCTCTACCAATTGAGCTACGAGTTCCGAATACTGGCCAGATTTTTATTTCACTTCAGTCACCATGGGTTTTACCCGACTGCCATGTGAATTCGTGAAGCGTTACTATCACTTGATCGTATTCACACTGGCTGCCTAGTCAGGAATTCTCATCTCGATCCAAATGTAACTAAATTAGCAGTCGAACCTCGTAGCTCAGTTGGTATAGCATTGGGCTGGACACCTGGTGGTCGCTGGTTCAAATCCGGCCGCGGTTCAAATTTTCATTTCCCCTTCAGTCACCACCTAGTTTATATATATATATATATATATATATATATATATATATATATATATATATATATATATTTATATATATAACTTCTTTTACTGTTATTGACTGTTCAGTATCACGGTTTGTTGATAATTTATTTTGAGTATAGTAGTGTGTAAGCTCATTTCCTATCAACTATTTGAGCATTTGCACTTTTTATGTTGCATCTTTAGACAGTCTATATCACAAAGTCACACTGCCTGAAGAACTACTGGAAATTAAGGGACGAAAACCATGGCGTCAGTTGGCTACATAACGTTGAATACCATCATGTACTCTGAAATTGAGACCAGAATCTCCAGGTTTTGGTAATCAATACACCATCATAGTATCGATTCTGTGGAAATTAAAGCATTTTAGTAAAAGGTTGAATGAATAAATTTATATTCTGATGCTTAGTTTTGATCAATTTAGCTGTTTGGTAGTAAAAGCTATTTTATAAATTAATGACATCGTGGAAATTATCATTTCATTGATTTCATGCAGGGATAGTTAATTTTAAACCTACCTTCGTTAGAGTTATAACTGCTTAATCAAGTATTTTATTACTTTTATTCTCCCAGTCCAAGTTTTTCTGCGTTAAGCTTTTGATTTCAGTCTAGGGATGACCTTCAGTGTACTTTCACTTGTATTCATGTGGGTAAATACTAATCAGTTCGATAATGAACAGGTTGTATGCTCAGATTTGTCTTCAAGATTGGTTTTTCTATCAAAATTTAGTTTCCTTAACCACTGTATTTCTTTTAATTAATCTCCTCTTGACCTGGTCTGGTTATCATCATTTGTATTGGGGACTAGATGAATTTCGCTTTATTCTACCTTTGACCTTTGTTTTCGAGGTGGGTGTATTTTTCTTCCTCTCCCTATGTGATGAATTCTGAGTTGAAGTTTGCGTTCAAGTTAGCTTAGTTCCTCTTAAATAGTCTACTGGTAGAACTGTTGACAGATTTCCTTTAATTTACTACTGTATTTCTTAGTTTGTTGAGGTTCATGTGTTTCTGCTCAATTCTCATTGATTAAACATGGAAGAGACTGAACAAATTAGAAATTTTACTGCGTGATTAAAAAGAATCCATTGAACGTATCATAGTGTGTCTTAAGACTTGGATATTTTTGTTCTATTTTCTTCACGTTAAACATCGAGAGTAAAAATGATAAATCTCATATTGGACTTTCAGTTGTCTCTCAGTTTCCAATTTAAATGATGTACTAATCAACACAAATAAACTAAACATTATGGTATAATAACATACAAATTCTCTGAATTATAAAACTCATAGATTATCAGATTCAACCTACAGGTATAATGAAGAGTGTATGTAGTAGACAAAAATTATTTGTAACTTCTGGTCAGATATGATAGGTTGTTTGTGATTGGTTGAAAACAAGGCTCAGTCATTTTACAGATTGATAAAAAACATTTTGATTCTGATAAGAAAAGTCTTGAAGCATAGGAACTTCATTCTACCCCTTATAATTAAAATCAAAATTGGCATATTTATTGAACCAGCTGATAGTGAATCTCTTAGACCATCATAGGCACTGATACCTTCATATGGTTTTCTAGTGGAAATTTTTGATTGTTTGATAATGTACTTTTTAACGCACTGCATTTTATTCATCATTTCAATGTACATTTTTTCTGTTGAAAAAATTAGTTAGAGCATGAAAATGTCCCTGGAGTGGTTGAATCCTTGAAAATTATAACAAGAGAGAAATCAACGAGGTTAGTGTTTTTTTGCAAGAGCGATAGTCCCTGTGTAAATGTGTATCCATTTGAGTCGCCATATTTTTAAACTGTTGGTATATTTGTAAATGAATTTATGTGAAAACTCAATAAGTGTTAGGTTGAAGGAAAGTGTATTTGGATAGGCGAAATGCTAAGTAAACGGATCTAATCTTAAGATGTTTCCGTAAAAACGTGTGTGTGTGTGATTCTTAACTGACTTGTATAATGTCAGTATGGAAGCTTACATTTTTTAACTTTATCTACATTGAAGAATTTTGTTGTTTGCTTTTATTCTGTAATTCTGTTACTTTGAGGCCTAACCACTCCTGAATCTAGTTTTGGGACTAATTGCTACTGAGCCAACTTGGAACATTCCTGACAGATAGACCATTGAAAGTACAATACATGAGGGAATTACAGGCTTTAAACTGTACGTGACTTCTTAGTAATACTCGGATGTATTGGAATCACAGTATGAGGAATGATTGGGATGCGTATAAAGTACTAGACAAGAAATGCAGTTGTGAACCTTCAGCCGCCGAGATGGCTTGATCATCTGTTGAGCATACTGCGCCACTGCCTACCTGAACTCTCAATGTTGGTGGGAGTAGGATTAAGTTTAAAGAAACCTGAAGGTAGCTAGACCGAGAAGTGGCACCAGTCCATAAAGTCGCAATATATTCAGGCATCCGCATAGGGATCCCATCTGGCAACAGTAGTCGAACAGTTTTATCCAGTATAACAACGGGGAATGACAAGTATCAGTAAATAAGAGTATTTCTAAATTAGTGTGTACTTGAATAGCTTGCTTACTAGTAGTTTATGCTTCAAAAGTAAATCGTTCTCTGCAGCCGAATAATAAATAAAAATAAATGTTACGTGTGTGTACTTTGCACCATTGAAGTGCAAATTACTTTTGCAAGATTGACAGAAGCCTATGCCTGCGCTTACCCTTGGTGGTGAGCCGTACGAAGTAGTTGAAAAGTTCGTGTATCTGGGTAGTTGTGTGTGTGTTGGTGGAGTTGTAAGTGGTGAAATTTCCAACCGCGTATTGAAAGCCAGAGTGGTATACGTCAATCTGAGTCACCTTTGGCGGTGTCGCTAGGTTAGTCTGACCGTAAAAAGTTGGGTATGAGTAATTCTGCTCTATAGCTGTCAAACCTAGCCCCTCTGAGCTGAGGATGTGCGACAACTCTGTGTGTTCGATCATCGTTGTCTCCGTAGGATTGCTCTTACCCAGTAGCAACACCATGTAAGTAATCCTGAGGTACGACAGCGTGTTCGGGCATGATGAAGATCGTCATGAAGTCATTTGGAAACACTGGCTCCGGTGGCTTCGACATGTGTTTCACATGTCATCCCAACGGCTTCCATACTGTTCAGTGTTTGCTAACCCTGAGCCTAGGACTGGATGGAAGAAGCGGAGGGTGGTCAGTGCATGACGTGGTGCCATGTGATGAAGGATAGTTTTATCGGGCTAACATCTCTTGGTGCAACACAACTCCCTGGATGCGGTTCGAGAGATCACACAACTCAGTGGCTTGAGACATTATCAGATATGGCTCAGAATCAAAACCAATTGTGGTCATGCTGTAGCTTCCTTCTGTCTTCTGCTGCTGAAAGATAGTGAGTGTTTTGTTTTGAATGTATCTTACTGGACTGCCCTTTTAATCATGCTATTCTTATTTTTTTCTCTTTCTTACTTATCGGCTTTCCATCGTTTATGTCTTCACATTGTTCTTATACTATTTTGTGTGGTGCATTTCTTCATAGCCTTGTTGTACCATGTTTATGTTCTAATAAATAAAAATAAATGTTATTATCTGTAAAACTACCCTTCAGAAAGCTGTGATCATTGCATCCAGCAAACTGTATTCACCACTTAATTTCAAAACTTAATGATACTGTTTAGCTTGATTTCACCAATACAAATTCAGGATAGACAGGAGTAGTATTTGATAATCTCTAAGTATATTTTCCTCGTAACTTAATTTCTAATTTCAATGGGACACAGTATATTTTTACCTGTCGCAAGTCTCTATTATTTATTATTGCATTTTATTCTGTTAAACAGAATTGCTCAATTTGCGTTCGATTATGCCGTTCGACATAATCGAAAAAAAGTTACTGCAGTACACAAGGCAAATATCATGAAGTTGAGTGATGGTCTTTTCTTAGAAGTATGCTCTACAATGGCTAAAAAGTATCCACAGGTTAGTAATAAATCCATAATAAATAAAAAAATAAAAAATTTATATGCATGGATTTAACACATTCATAACTAAAAGGTATGTATTCCATATTGTGATTCATGTGAAGGCTTACGAGATTGTGTCATTCGAACAAATAAATAACTAACCCCTTTCACTTTCAATTTCTGGGATGTGAGAAACACTTGCTTCCATGGGGTTATGATTCCCCACAATAGCTGAAAGTAGGTTAGTAATAATATGGTTTGAATTGAGAACTATGTGAATTTCATTGTGATTTAAACCCGGCAAGGCTAAAAGTTTTCCACAGGTGTTAGTGTACTCGTCATAGGTTTTAGGGTTGTTAGACAGAATGCTACAACACCTGGGTATAACTTTTAATCTCATCTCATTTATATACTTAATGTTTTATTTCTCGTTACCGTATATTCTGTAAAATGTTAAGTAGGATTTTACTGAACAGGCAATTTATTTAGTCTTAAATGTATAGTTTATGTTCTTGACTAACTAACGGCTAACTTGTACACCAGACACCACCAACTCCAAACCTCAGACGAAAAAAGATAAAAAAGACTCTTGTAGATGGGAGAGTTTATTGCCTCCGAGATGATCTCAAAATCACTCCAAACACATGTGTGTATATACATAATATATCACCTTGTCTAGAATTTGGAACATCAACATATTAAAACCAGGTGTTAACCAACTAGTGAATTACCTTGAAAAAAGCGGGGGTAATTAACTACTGGTTATGGCATAAAAATGCCGCGAAAACGATAACTTAAGAAGAACGTACAGATTAATAAGTAATGTTTTATGTACAGATTTGGGGCCTGCAAACAGTTTCATAGCGGACACTACTTGGCTATGTGGCTCATTCACGTAGGCATTTGACTTCTAATCAGTTAATCCTAGGTTCAGTCTCCATTCCCACCTACATCGGAATGACTGACCAGTTAGTGTTATAAACGGTCACACAATAAATATGGCTTGTAGCCTAGTAAAATAGCATGTTTACTGGATGCAGTTGTATAATAAGTGAATAAATAAGTAGTAGGCACCATTTATATGAACTATGATCGAGATTTGACCGAGTAGTACTGCAAATATCGAGTGCCTAGTGAAAAGATGACATTAGACTATGAGACGTATTCGAAAACAACCTACATATGAGATACCATTTAGTTTGTGTCCAATGATAACTAGCTGATTGCATCATATACAGTATTCGTATTGACTTCAGAAATAAAAAGCAAGATGTTTTTAAGCTCTTAAGGATTACATTTAGATGCAAGTGTCGAATTACTTACCAAGTTAAAGAAATCTGTCTCATGGTGAGTACTTTGTGATAAGAAAACGTTCACTAATTTAAGTCTTGATTATTTTATGTGGTTGTTCCTCTGAATAGTCCTTATCTTATATCTTTTCAATATTCTGGTTGACTGGGAAGACGGAGAAAGTGGTTCAGGTGTGCTTCAATCATATTTGTCTTACATCTAGACAAAAAACTCAGAAGTCAGTAGATCGAATTGTGTGATTTAGGAGAACTATGGGAAGTGTACAGTTGAATGAGGATCAGCTAACATAGAGTGGTTAAAGTAGAATGCATCTACGCAAAATGTGTTCATTGTGAACTGTCAGCTAATTCCTAGAAAGTGACCATATGATTAAAAATATGTTTTTCAACCTAGTACGGGTTTATGCACTATGCTATGAGGACATACGTATTGTTTGATACTACACCGTTGTCCAGGCAAATGTAGGTGAACTCAGTATCCGCTACCTAAAAGTTGTATGTAAACCAACACATCACATCTCTATATGTTCAACCGAACCTGGAAGTCTGTAGGTCACTGAACACAGCTCATACCAGCAATGAATGGCATGATCTCATTTCTTTTCCCTATTAATGACAATAATAATAATAATAATAATAATAATAATAATAATAATAATAATAATAATAATAATAATAATAATAATAATAATAATAATAATATCTTGAGTACTTTGATCCTTCCTATTCAAAGCAAAAACACATCTCAGTCGTACTAATTACAGCGCAGCTATCTGGTTCATTTTTTCTGCCCAAAACTCTACGTCTAGCCTTGGAATTAAAGAGTGAGTAAGGTTGAGGTCAGGTGACGGGTACTAAACAAGAAAGGCAAGTCGATTGATAAGCTTGTGGACTTTAGTCGACTGAAATGGCTTGGACATGTATTGCACATGCCTAGCCACCGGTTACCTCGACGTGCCATGCTAGGGAAAGTTGGATTAGGTCGGAATAGAGTTCAGGGTGACCAGACGAAGACGTGACACCAGTTGATGAAACCTTTTAATGTTGGTCTAAATAGTGAGGGGAGATGTAGACTGTTTGGTTGGGGTCCCCAAGACGATAGGAATTAGTGGTTGAGGACTCTTGGTGATGTGGGTGAAAATCGGTGACAGTGGTGAAGAAGTATTCACTCGTTGACATCTTGTAAAGCTTGAATATTTGAACTAACCTTTACTTCAAGATTGTTTATTCTCTCACATTACTTTATCTTCTTTGATATCACTCCTTTTCTATCATTCTGTTCGTCCTGTACTTGTGTGAAGTGTGGCAACTTGACGGCGATGTACCCTTGTACAAGGCTGTACATTGATTTTGTCAGTTAATCACATCTAGCCTTAATATCACTCAATTTGTTTCTCTATCATCTGGAGTTTTACTGTAAGGATAGGTTCCTCTAAATATGTTTTCACTTCTTTAATTATCAAATCATAAATATAAGTATCTACTAATGTGTAAACCTCATTACTATCATTTGTAAAAATACCTAATCAATTTCTACGTCTTACATACTGGATATTTTCTTTTGTTTTCCTCTTATTTCTATTGCTTCATACATACTCATTCTATGAATTTGTTTTAAATATAGATTGAATTCAATCAGATGATTATCGATAATACGTGTATGCAGTTAGTCAGTAAACCTCAACAGTTTGATGTTATTGTTTTACCAAATCTATATGGGAATATAGTTGGTAACGTGGCTGCTGGATTAGTTGGTGGTGCTGGTCTTACAACAGGCATTAATTTAGGCCCACAAAGTGCTCTATTCGAAATGGGTACGCGCAATTCTGGACGTTCATTGGCTGGAAAAAATATCGCCAATCCGTGTGGTATGCTGCTTACCTCAGCAGATATGTTAGATTATTTGGGTAAGTCTCTTTCTTACTTATTGTAGCTCAGATTTTCAGTTAAGTTTAAAACACATATATTGCAGTAGATGAAGACGTTGACAAAACGCGGAGTCTTTTCAATGCGTTGGAAAAAATCTGAGCATATTTGGCACGTGTTTCACATCCGCTGAATGTAAGATGATGCTCCACGGACTGGCCTGCAACGACTTCCATTTTAATGACAGGGAGTGAAGTTGTAGAATGTATCGACTTCTTCACTTCCTTGGAAAGTTGTATCAACTTAAACGTTCTGGTTGCTGATAAAATCTCAGCTCGGACACACAAGGCCTGTTTAACATTTGCCAACTTGTATCACCTGTGGCACCGGAAAAACATCCGACTGTCTATCGAACGACGAGTATATGTGGTCAAGTCTGCGCTTCTGATATTCATTCTGAAATAATTCATCAACAGTCATCAATTACTTATTTACATTGTAATGTCGACTCCACTAGGAACTTAACATTCCCTTATATGGCTCAGACTAATACTCAGGGACTTTCTGTAGAGTACATTCATAGAACGAGAACAACAGTTATGGCAGAATAGTATGGATCCATTTCAATTCACAATTTCTCATCAACCACAACTAACATTCGAAGACAATTTTAAAATCAATTTATACAAATGTTTACATACTTGAGTCGATTTGATAGGAAATAATCGACTTGAAATAAAAATATCCACCATTAATATATATATATATATATATATATATATATATAATTGAAAGAAAGACAATTTTGAGGCATCCACACAGGACCCCGTATGCCAATGGAGATCGATCAATTCGGTCCAATCAACTACGGTATTATAATACGAGCAATAGCACTAAAAACAACACTGTTATGACATAACTGAAGACATACGAATTAAGTGAGTAAATATGCAAGAACCAATGATAAGTTTATTATAATACGTGGAAGGATCAAACGAATATTCTACAGCGGAAGTTGGATAACAAGTGAGGGGGGAAGGGGATTAGTGCAAATATATTCAGAATATTGAGGAACGTCAGGTAAATTAAGTGTGAAAAGGCGAGAGGATTTATGTTATCTAAAAAAGACAAGATACGTGCTACTGAAGCCCTATGTTCCATTAGGAACCCAAGGGGCAAATAATGATAATAATAAGAATAAGAAAGCAAGATGAATAAATTTCAAATAACTAGATCAAGGATGTGAAATGGTAATGACAACAAAGGTGTGTGAATCCATAATGACACATAGAAAACATGATGATTATCAACAACACAAACGTTTTTAGCATGGTAAGGACAGGCTGATTGATATCTGTGGCTTGCCAATTTTTCATGAACCCGTTTCAACTGCTATTCTAACAAACGAGTCAGTTTGTTGAAAGATGAGTTCACCATAGATAATATGGGTCTCATCGGGATATTACGTTTTTGTACCTTTATCGAGCCTTATGAATGCGATAGGCGAGATATTTGTAGTTTGAGTACATTATAGACCGAGATATCAATCAAATTCTTTGACAGGAGTTCGTGCAACTCTCTTGTAAACTGATTTTCTTTAGTCTCAGTTATATCCTTTTTAGAACTGCCAATTATAAATCTTGATGAAGCACCCGAAATTGATCTGACTGTAGAGATATTTATGTTGTGATATAGTCATTATAGATGAGAATGAAGAAGAATTTCATTGATAACACTATAATGAACTCAACTCTGAATTTGCTCGAAAACCGGAAGGTTTTGATGTGTCTTCGCTATTTACAAAGATATCCTTTAAAGGAAACTGTAGATTACATTTCAGCTTTTTTATCTTCTACCTTTAGCCAAAAAAGAATTCAAACACCTTTTACTCATGTTAGAATGTATCGATGGAGTTGGAATAGGCAGTTCTTTGGGTCTTATATTAGCTGATATCTCCGTGGGGAACCTTAAATTTACTAGTATGAAGTATACAATCGATGAGACAGCCTTCTACAGTGGCTAGGTTAATGATACGTTCATTGTTTCCAATAACCTGGAACTTTTCTCGTATTTCCTTAGCAAAGCACACCAAAACATGGAATATGAACAGAATGAGAACTTTCACTTCCCCAATCTCGGAATTCAACGAACTACAGATGGTAATATACTAAGATGTATCCATTGTAAAGATTCCTCTTGGAGTGTCTTAATTTCAGTCATTTTTGTCCCATATGTTATAAGAAAGAGCTGGTAAGAACACTTTTCAGTCGCATAAGATATCTCTGTTCAAAAGAGACACTGCAAGAGGAAATAACTATTGCTGAAAAGTCCCTCCGTGACGACAATGGATATCTGTAGAAATTCACCAATAAGTACAAGAATATACCAACTAAAAGTGTAAAATGTGATGTAATCAGGAAGTCTGTTTTCTTAAATCTTGGTTTCAAACATAATGATGTTTCTGTAAGAATTAATTACAGAATAAATGCTGCCTTAAAAAGGACTTATCCAGCTGCTAGGTTAATTGCACATTACCAAATGAATTGCTCACTAAGGCAATCAAAAGTTGGCAAATCCCTTCCTCATGTTACCTCCAACTGCATATATATCAATTCACATTGACGCACCAAAGCACATACATTAGCCGAACAGAAAGAAGGGTTTGTGACCGTATATCTGGGTCATTACGGATTCACACACCTTTGTTGTTATTACCATTTCACATCCTTGATCTAGTTATTTGAAATTTATTCATCTTGCTTTCTTATTCTTATTATTATCATTATTTGCCCCTTGGGTTCCTAATGGAACATAGGGCTTCAGTAGCACGTATCTTGTCTTTTTTAGATAACATAAATCCTCTCGCCTTTTCACACTTAATTTACCTGACGTTCCTCAATATTCTGAATATATTTGCACTAATCCCCTTCCCCCCTCACTTGTTATCCAACTTCCGCTGTAGAATATTCGTTTGATCCTTCCACGTATTATAATAAACTTATCATTGGTTCTTGCATATTTACTCACTTAATTCGTATGTCTTCAGTTATGTCATAACAGTGTTGTTTTTAGTGCTATTGCTCGTATTATAATACCGTAGTTGATTGGACCGAATTGATCGATCTCCATTGGCATACGGGGTCCTGTGTGGATGCCTCAAAATTGTCTTTCTTTCAATTATATATATATATATATATATATATATATATATATATATATATATATATATATATATATATATATATATATTAATGGTGGATATTTTTATTTCAAGTCGATTATTTCCTATCAAATCGACTCAAGTATGTAAACATTTGTATAAATTGATTTTAAAATTGTCTTCGAATGTTAGTTGTGGTTGATGGGAAATTGTGAAATAAAGTGGATATATGCACTTCTGCTAAGACTCGTGTTATGTTTTTTGAAATACAGAAACTCCACAAAGCGGTGCAGTGGTTTAGTTTCACTGTCTGTTTACTTTATCTAGCTTAAGCCTGCTTTTATAAATTTTGCGAAACCAGGCAGATTATGATTAGTTATGCGTAACATGTGTCAGTCAGTCATCTGAATGGATTGAGGTTCACAAGGTGATGGAATTATTTTACTCTTTTGTTGAATGCTGACCTCTATGCTACTGTTGGATTGGTTCGATGGCACTTCACCTATGCAACGGTGACCTTACACCGGAATCTTTCTTATTGGCGAAAGTCAATTAGACTTTTTGTATTCATGGAGAGATTTCTTCGGTTACTGACTTCTCAAGGGTGATCCGAATTCCATATGGAATGAAGGTGAAAACACCCTTATTCACTTGTTAGATCAACTACATCGTATGTGATAATGAGCGTCTTTTAACAACATTAGTAGACTTCGTTATATCAGAAATTGTTAAGAGTTCATGAATATTTTCTGTTGTGTTTGACGCTATGGGGTTAGTCAATTTTGTATTTGCGGTGAATTCCTAAGTTTATCAACTTCTGTACGTAGTGCGACAAATAACAAAATAAATAACGAAATAATGATCGGTGGAATTCGGTCAGTACTCGGGACTCGAAAAAATGAAGTTGATCAGTGTTAAGTGACCGATGTCTCTAAACCATTCCTGCAGAAGGTCAGTCGTCGCCCTATTAACTTAGTGGTAATAATACTCACTGTAACACTAAATGACATGGACTTAAATCTCAGGGGACATCAACTCCCTGGAGGTTGCAGATGTGCCTTTCTGACGAGTGCCAACATGTGCGAAACCTGGATTCAAAGCTTCCTATTGATTACCTCGCACCAAGTAACATTCATCAAAGTTTATCGCAATGATGAGTCTCCTAGCTTGGTTACCGCTAGACAATATGAAAGTGGTTAGTCTCCTGTGACCAATCAAAGACGAAATAAATGTTCGATCTCTCTAACTTTTCACATTTATTTTATCAATGAATTATCGTCTTCCTTTTTAAAAAGACATATCTAAGAAAGCTAAAAGGTAACTTTTTTTTCTAAGTGTATGAGGTTTAAAACCTTATGTGAGGTGAGTAACATATTCTCATTTAAAGTTATCATTATGAAGTTGGCAATCCGTTTGCCTCTTATTAGAAATACCTTGTTCAATTCTTTACTTTAAGTTGTTAATTAATCCAAATTCCACTATCATGATAATTTGTATTAATTGTCTGTAATTAAACTTCACAGATCATACACGAGAAGCTAAATTAATTCGCGATGCAGTCATCTATGTTGTTGGTGAACAGAAAATACGCACAGCTGATCTGGGAGGTAATTTTAAAACAAGCAAAGTCATTGAAGCGGTTTTGAAAAGGTTGAAAAGTCAAATTGCACTGTGATATATTGGAAAATAAAATGCAAAAAACCCCCAACACTTTTGAACTTAGTCTACACGTGTAACTGTACACAACATTCAATATTGTCTTTCCTGTTCACCTTGCTGTTCGTTATTATAGAAATAATACATTAAAACACGTATCGCCATACTTTTAGGGTATATATATATATATATATATATATATATATATATATATATATATATATATATATATTACCATCTACCTGGTTATTTTATAAAAAGTGAATATTATCTTGTCATCCTGATGTGTAAACACATCAACAAGATTTCAACAGTTCGATTTTGTCACATTTTACAACAGCACAGAAAAAGGAAATGAACAACAATGGAAAGACGTAAAAAGGGAGATGGAACAAATGTCCATAATTTTGAGGAATATTCTTCTTTGCCGAAGGTCTCCGATTTTCAGTTCTTATTACCTTAGTCAGATAGCGTGCAACTTTCGACACAGGTTAGATTGACAGTCAGTGGTATCATGTTTTAGTGTGGTCACCTTTAGCTGGTTTTGAATTCACTTCTAAATTGGCTAACACCGGGCTTTTGGGTAGATATTTGGTTTGGGAGGATTACCAGTAGATCTCTAACATACTGTGCAGTCATTTGTGGAACTTATAGTAGTTTGGTGGGATATTTTGAAGAAGTTTATTAATAACGACTTTAGCAGATTAGTCAGTGAGATGATGATATATCTCATCTTAGTATGAACTTTCTCTTATGCGGTGAAGGTTGTTGTCCGCAGGTTTTGTAATGCAAATGATCTTGTTGGGTTGCTTCTTTATTATCTTCCAGTTTTATTCATTTCGGTAAGAGTTGAACAAGATAACCTCTGTTGAGACCATGTATCTATCAGAGTTGCCAGAAAGTCTTAGCAGTACATAGAAATCGAATGAATCGAGCAACTTAATGATCTAGGTTTGAAGAAGCACGAGAGACGAAGGGCAGCAACTGATTGGTTAAAAAAGTAGGATGTTTTTTAAATAAAACTTGGTAGTCATGTCTGTTAGTAGTTGATTTCGAAGCCTGTTATTTATAATCGCTAACCATTAGTCTAAAATATTGTGAAATCAGGCGGAAAATTTCATTGCCTTTATATTGCTCCGACAGATTGTCGATGATTTACTTGTTCTAATAAGAATATGCGATTTGCTCTACTATATTTTCCAACTGTTATCATAAGTTAGCAAAGGCTGGAAGTTACATGTCTGTACGTAATTAAATGACTTCAAAAAACATCCTTGGTCACTTGTTCCACACTCAGTGCATAATTGGATTCAAAACATATAACAAATGCTTCAAAGAGATGAGTGAATACGTGTCTCATTCCTGTATTGTTTAATTTAAACAGTTCTGCTTTGACAGTGAAGTAGTAACCGATTCACTGCATTTTCAGCTCTTTATCGGAAGTTAATTGGTACTTTTTCCCCATGGTTTTTAGCGAGTGCAGCTGCCACGTTAGTAAAACAGTTAACATGATTAACGATTGTTTCATGGCTTATTTTTAAGCTATACAACAGTTGAGTTACATGCTAAAATGATCATCAAGAATCTGGGCTCTCTCCTTTCTGTTCAACAGACTTCATTGTTACAGCATTTGTTTGTGTAGGCTCGTAATTCACTGGACAGTGTTGTGTTTGATTCCTTAGTTTACAGAGACCAAAGTTCACCACTACTTCTTTTATGCAATTGATCGTGATCATCACGAACGAATGTCATTTGTTTCTATCAACTAACGTACTAACCCCATAATCTCTTACATGGCTGTGTGATTCGAAGTAGAAAATCTCAGCAGCTTATTTTTCGAGGTCTGATGAAGATTTGATTAGTTCACTTATGATCCAACTTGATACTTATTTGTTCCTGCTGGAATTCATACAAATATTGAGGTTTTAGTGAATCTACTAATTCAGATGATTTCTTCAAGTAAACCAGAAAAGGACATTCATCTCCATAGCAGGAAGGAATATTTATAGTAACTATACATAACTCTTATATTCTGATTAGGAAATCAGTCAGGGTAAATGGTAGCTCTTGAACACGTATAATCACAAATCATCAGTTTTCTATTTAGCCCAAATTTATCAGTCGTGATAAGAGTTAATTGTAGTGCTTCATTCATTCTATGGCTAGATTTTAGATAACAGGAAAGTAGTTGGTAGCCAGTCAGACTTTTGTTAAAATTATCCGCTCTATATTGTGTATCATTTGTCTATTTTGAGAGTAAATCACTTACATTTGTGCTTCAACTTATTGGTCAATGTGTACTATGTATTACATATATAAATAAAGCTGTTACCTATAACTTTTCTGCATTATTTTGAAATTCAGTAACAATATTGGAAGTTTCTAGTCATTCTTTAACTTCTGGCCATTAGCTTTATAGTATGCATTTAAACCTGTTAAGTACGCGTTCTTGTCTACTCATGGAACCTTTCGTCTAATTCTCAAATCAACCCTTTTTTAAAAAGTTGAAACATATTTAACAAACAAAAGTATAATTCAAACGTCCACTACAGTTTTGTGTACTAGGCTATAAGGATTTGTGATAAAATACCCAACTACTAGGTCAAGTAGAACCTTTACTCGAGAACTATTCTTTTGGGGTCGAGCACAAGCCACAGCTTAATAATGCAACTCATTTAGTGTCTGTGTGTCATTTCAAAGATTTTCACCAAATTATTACTCTCTATTTCATTTATTGCAACCTATGAAAACATTAATCATTCGCTACCAGGTGAAATAATTAGTGGTGTTGCAAATTCTTAACCATGTATATACCTCAACACATAGAATATACCACCTATTCGGTAGCTTCTAATTTTCGCAATGAAAATGTAGTTGTTTGCTGTTTTGTTAACTAAATCCAGCTAGTAAAGCATGGAGTGAAATGTTGTCTATGTGCTTGACTAAAATATCATTTGAGTCGTGTCTTAACATTTTATGAAACAGTACTAACACTTTTCGAATTCAGTTAACCTTCACTTCCAGCGAATATGTTAAAAGCTTATTCGTTTTCTCCTATAGTGTTGCCAAAATCACTTTTCGAAGCTCATTTGACACATAATGAATGACCAAAATTTTTAACCCGCTCATTACTGGGAAGACAGCTAATTGTCACCACCGTTAAACAGTGGTGAATCTTCGTTCTGTCATCGATTCCATAGACACACGTTTGCTACAAAGTCTTTTTCCTGAATGTTGTAACATTCCACCGGAGTTGACCAGGATACATGACTAGAATCAACACCAAATACACTATATAGGGACGACTCGGCACCTGTTCTGGATATATGAAAAATCTTACTCTCCATATCACAAAGCTGGCGGGAGAGAGAAACATAAATTATATCTCAAAGTTGTGGAGTTATTTGATATGACTGTAGATAATAAATTGTATCCGAAACGTAATCCAGTAAACAATAATGTTACACTGTGTGATGCATGTAGTGGACCAACTAAAATGGAGTGCCGTCTGTTAACTATCAGAAGGAAGAGCTAGAAGACAGCTACCTTCAGAATAGCATAGCTTTCGCAAAATACTGGCAGTGACGTTTCAAATGTACACAGCAAATCCCATAAATTCATAATAAAACGTCTGCAGAAAACTCGCGTTGGACGGGTTTCAGGGAGATATCCGTTATCTTTGTAGTCATGTTTCGTGGTCTATGTAATCAATCTTAATCCAGCTTTTTTAGGGGTACCTGAGGGAAGATTTAATCTTCAACCACCAGAATGCCTTCAGTACATCAGCAGCATCTGTGAATACCAAGTGTGCACCATTTTTAATCTCATTTACCTATGGAATCCACACTCGCAATTTGCGCTAAGGGAATGGGATTTCTAGCCTCAATGGACAAGACAAAAATAGAGAATAAATAAGGGAGCTAATTCAGTGATATCACAGGAGAAAGGAGTCTCAGAGAGTTTCTAGACAATTATAATCATGGTTGGGATGATGAGGGCATTAAACCTGAAAACCCGTCAAGAAACAAGTTTTGTGGACCCAAACGTCCTTTACAGCTTATAAGACAAAGTAATTTATCGAATTCTTGTAACGATTATGAGGTCACATATGTCAAAGTGGCTGATCACAGTCAGATACAAAATCAACGTAGAACCTTGCACACAAGTGGATCGGCTCAGGTTGCCACACTTCACAGTAGTACACAAAGAACAGGTAGTTGGAAAAGGAGTGATACCAAAGTAGATAAATTTGTGTGAGAGAATAAGCAATCTGAAGATTAAAATTAGTATGAATAGTAGAGCTTTAGAAGATGTCAAGGGGTGAATATGTCTGTACCATTAACCGATTTTCTACCATGTCACTAAGAGTCCTCAGCCACTGATTCCTGTCGTCTCGGGACCCCAGCCAGGTAGTCTACACCTCCCAATACGGCTCGGACCAACAGTCAGGAGGATCATCGGCTGGTGCAACGTCTCGGTTTGAGCACCCATGGTAATTCGAGGTAGGCGGCGGTTCGGCGTGCGCATGACATATCCAAGACATCTCACTTAGCTAAGGTTGACAACCTCATCAGTCGACTTGCCTAGCACCCTTCACCTGATAGCGACATTACTCACAATCAGTTAGATATAGCACAAAAGCTTGACTAGATGTAGGGTGGTAGACCCTAAACAATAAGAAATCCAGAGGAAAATTCAGCTAGCGAAATCACACATCAGGACAAAGTTACAGTCATAGAAACTAACATTGGTAGGGTAAAGGGGGTGATTGGCAACTGAAGCTTTGTTAATCAATCGAACCATACAAAAGAAACGGCTCTACATCTGTTCTGGATACTTTAGTTCCGAGGAAGCGGAAGAAATAGGACTATAAGAACATGATATAGATAACGATGAGTGAAAATTGCGTTCATTCAGTAAATAATACTGTCTGAAATATTCAAGAGATAAATCAACATGGTATTCAGTAGACGACGTTAAGAACCCTAATGATTAGGATTGGGTACCCCAACGCTTTGTGTCGGCTGGGGTAGGAGTACGAGACAAAAAGCTGAAATTGATCAGACCAGGAAATGGAAGTGAAGTTTCTGGTAGGAAAAATGTTGGTCTTCTCATTGGAGGTCGCGAGACTAGTGAGCACAGTGTACGGAAATTGACTCCAAATAGATCATGGAGAAGCAAATGCATGTGTTTAATCTCTATTTAGTTCTTAAAAATCTTTCTATGGAATTATTCTATTTATCACCATTTTGTCCTCCATTGTTTATGACAGCTGGTATTATATTGCTGTTTTTCCTACCGTTAAAATCCACTTGGATTTTAAGTGTAGCAGCTCAAACTAATATGCTAATACCTCAAGCCCTACGTTATTCGTGCATATTAATCTGATACTACTTATCCTGTGTATCTCAAAGTTTAAGGGGAGTAGTAAGTCAGGCAATATAAAGACAGATGTTAATGTTGTTGCTTGTATTATCTCGTCGTGGGGTGGACCAAATTGATCGGTCTCTATTGGCATATGAGATCCTGCGCGGATGCCTCGATATTGCCTGTTTCAGTTATACGTTAATGATGGATGGTGCCTAACAGTGGAATCCAGAACCCGCGTTTCACGCTATTTGGGACTCGTCAGCTAGATATAAGGAACAACACTAAACAATCGTCACATAAGAAACGGCTATCGTGACTCGGTGGCCTAGTGGATAACGCTCTGTCACTTGAAGTGGTCGGTCCCGCGTTCGAGTCCTACGGGGAACAACATCGCTCACTGGGAAGGAGGTACATCCAGCTGGCTAGTCCTGAATAGGGCGGGACGCGCATCACTTTGGATTATACTCCTAACCACTATCCATCAAAAAAGACATAAATGTTACCTGAATCTTAACGGTGTGTATGAAGTATTTTAAGAAACGGGAGGGCATAATTTTCACGATACTGGCAGTATATATTGTATGCTTATTTTTCATGGGCTTGCAGTTAGATTATGCTGAATATGGATTTACTTATTTATTGAATATAAACACACTACAGCATGAGCACTAATAGATGATGATAAATGACTTGTTGAAAGGGTGTGAAGCAACGATCCAGTGTTATATAAGATTCACACAGAAACGTGCTCAGATTATCTTTTTGTCATGTTAATGTTAGTGACCGTTTTAAGCAACGAAACATCACTGAAACAAAAACAGCCTTTCTTATGAGCAACAGTCACTGCACATTGCAATCAGTCAGCATTAACGTGGGGCATAGTTTCGCTGCGTAACGGTCAAACTTGCTACCAAGTTACTGTAAATTATCAAGGAATATGCACATAAGTAATAACAGACATATCAAAAAAGGAGTGATTCTTCACACAGAGATACCTGATGATTTATTCATAAGTAATATTACATGCTAAAATAAGATGACCTGGAAAAATAAAGTACTGTAAACGATGGAGTAGTGTCTCATTTAGTAACAAAATTAGAAATCAGATAAAAAGTACACGTTGTTTATGATTGGTACCATAATTTACAATAGATATAAGCGAAATATGATTGGGAACGCCAATGATCCATTTAGCCATATCTACACCGATGACCACATCCAGCCGGACACTCAGGTCTTCTCATCAGCCAAGCCTAATCGGTTACGGAAATAGAAAACACACGAGCATAGTTTACAATAGTTTTTCTTTTAAAAATTCATAGCAAAAACTTTTTACAATTTGATTGATTACTTCCAATAATTATATAGCCTATCTATGCACGGTTCCTCTGGTTTTTCTTTCTATTCTGGTGATAAGCTGGACGAATAGATACAGGTTTGGTAACTCAAGGAAAAGGTGGCAACATTTACCTGTATATTACTTTAGTAATTAAGCATAACATACAGTAATAATTACGTAAGAGTGGGTACAATTTAATATCCATATTCATATAGTGAGAACCACGGCTGTGAGTTATGTGTTGATGGGATAGAAAAACAATCTCTCTACCTATATGCTTGTTTAAGTGTATCACTTTTTCTTACCTAGTTGTATGCAATGGCAGAATAATAAATTAGCTTTTTTCTACGTCACTTTGTTATCGTTTGATGGCTCTAGTGCAATTTGACAACGTGGATAAACCTATTTCAATAACAGTAATAATAATGATAATTATTATTATTGTCGCTTTATTCCAGACATATGGAATACAGCGCGGAATCCTCAGTATTTAATATTTCAACAAATTCATCCCTTGTACAATATTTTTAAACGAAATAATTACTGCACATTAGCTTTCGGTCTGGACTGGTTAGTGAATAGAAGACAGAGAGAAATTTTGATGGTTGTAGTCTATTCAACCAGTATTAAAATCTACAATTTGACATACGTATCCTAGGAATAGCTGTGTGCTGCACATTTTCATGTACTTATAAATCTATTTTTTATCGGCTTAACGTTTTTTCTTTGTTTTGTCCTTGGTTTAAAAAACTCCAGTTCTGAAACATTTTAAAAATGTGGGAGAGTAAATGACACATTTTAAAGACATAATTAGGAGATTAAAACAAACTGGAAGGGAAAAATTTGATAAAATATATTCGGTGGAAAATCTTTGGTAGCTCAATATTTAAGCAGGCCGTAAGAATGTAGTCATGGTGTAGTATTTCTAAGCTAAACTTTGATAAAAATACTCATTTCTAATTAGGCTAGTACACCTATGCCCTTTCTGAATTCATTTTTCAATAGCTGAACGAACAAACAGGTAAAGTTAAAATAAATAAACTGACATGATACCAGCACGTTTTACTAGAGTGTTAATAGATTTTTCGTCTGGCTCTTTAATAAATCAAGAAGTAAGGCAATTGGAATGAACCACTTATTTCTATTCCGCAGTAACCATAAAACACCACTTTAAGCTTTTATTTAGTTCTTATGGCTATTCCGGACAGCGAGAATATATTAAGAAATATATCGTACAATCTATTTTCTCATCTGACCTGCATATGATCCAAGTGCCCACCATGACTGCAGCCTCTACACCATATAAATAAACCACGGACAACTAGATGACACAATGCACAAGTTATTGTTGCTGGATCACATGATGTTGCATGTCGAGAACATGCCCAACCAGTATGTCCAGTCATTCGTTGAGTTGATTCACTGGCACATAGTGGTTTTGTGCACAAACCGCAACGTATAGATAATGTAGTTGAAATTTGATTTAAAGCCGCTACACCTGGTGCTAATGCTGGAGATGTGTTTCCTAGGCGTGAAGTAAATTGATTCTCGATACCACCACTTTTCCATCGAGTTCGCGTATTCCCTTCAGAACGAGGTTCTGCAGTATTATTCGGTGTTTTAGATTCAGATTCTATGAAGAGAAAATGAAAATAACATAAGAGGAAAGTAATATCACATTAAAATAATCGTCTAATATCCTTCACTGTTCAGATATGCGTTTCTAGTCATTTAGTCAGTCAGCATCAATATGAAGCATGACATTACTGCATAACGGCCCAAGCTGACACACACACAAAGTTAGGAAAACGGCAAAAAGAAGTCGTAGAAAGAAGGAAGAGATAAAACTAACACAATTTGATATGACAATTAGGATGAAGAGAATGTATGGATACATCTGCGCCGCTGACATCGATTCCGAGATAATTCATATACATTCTCCAACAACCTATCTCGATTGTCACACCGACACCAACCAGGAAATCTACATTTGCCTAAATGGCTCAGATCAACAGTTGGAGACTTCATGGACTGGTACTGCCTATAACCTTTTCCCAATCCAAATATCAGCTAACATCGTGCGACGAGGTAGACAGTGACTAGAGATGTGGAGCATATTTCCCAGCCATTTAAGTCGAGGAAGGCTCACAACCTCATCAAATGACTTTCGTTGTCTGATCAAAACTCAGCTCTGACTTCCACGTTATTAATGTTGTGGATACAGTCTATGCTACGTAGATAAAGGTGGTAGAACATCCGAAGTCTTCTCATATTCTGTACGTTTAATGGATATGCTTTACAGTCATGTAGCATGATGAAATGAAGTTTAGCACAGTATATACGATGCTGAAAAGGTAAGTGGAAATCATGATGGCGCCATAAATGGCGTAGGTTACCAAAGATTGAGCGAGTATTTTTTTATGCGTGAGGGCTAGCTTGACTTCTTACGTAAATGGAGTGATCAACGTGCTCAACCACTTCACTTCTAAATGTTAAACAAAGTACCAGCAACAATTTGCATTTGGGTAGCGAGAAACATTGTTGGCACCTCCACCTAATAGAACCATGTTATTTGTGAACTCTAGGTTTACTAACAAGTCGCACAATTCAACGTCAATCTCAGTGAAGTTAGATGAGATTAAGTAAGAATACAGAGTGAGTATCTTTGGTGTACACAACTCTGACAAGCCCACAGATATTTGAGTACAGAACCCTAAAAAGAGTGATGCACTTGTCCGGCACTCCTGTTAGTCAGATATGCTACAATGAGACCTCACAGTCGACAAGGTAGAATGTCGCTTTTGATTCAAGAAACGTAGCCACTATCAGACATCAGTGGGAGTATGGTCTGTGTTGTTTACTGGTATCAATATTCACCAAACAATTTATGTATTTCAAGGATTACAACAAAAACTGTGTAGTGTTTGCATTTATATTATAACCTAGAGCTACAGTATCGTATGTCATGTTGATTTTTTCATCTTCGATACCGTATAATAGTCCAAGGCTAGCTAGTCGTCTATGCTTTGAATACGATTTAGTTCCCGTACGTAAACCAAAGAGGTAAAATAAACTCTGCAAAAAAGCTTTCACTTTACTAAAGATGATCAGTAACTAATTAAAAGGAGGATATTATTTCCCGAATTTTCGAAAAATATAAGGAAAAGAAGTCAGAAGACTCAGAAATCAAAAACACTTATCATGTAGCGTTTACAAATAACAAAAGTATTACCTAAATTTATTTGAGTCAAAAGTTTTGTCTTATATGTTCGTGATACTGCCAAAGACAAACTAAGTTTTCAGAAACCCAGATGTTGAAGAAATGGATATTCCCTAGATTCCATTGAGAAAACTATGAAACAAAAGTATAATTTCAAAACTATCAGCACACATACAAAGAAGACGTCATTCATGAGATACTCATGAGGATATTTTGTAAAAATAATCCAAACAGACTGACTTGAAAGACGCTCCATATAGTGAAACGTAGAATAACCCACCATCATACTCCTCATGCATGTCTCCGTAGGAAATACAAGTTACCAAGACTATTGATTAATCTGATTATGTTGAGGTGAGTACATAGTTTGCTTATTGAAACCTATTCTTCGGTGTATTCGAGAAAGTAGTCCCTAGAATAGCTTAATAAACTACAATGCTGACGAATCAAATCGTTTATTTTGAAACATTAGGTTCTCACTTTTCAGAGTAGGATTTCTTATTCGACAGTCTCTGAAATAACTAACCAAATCTACATAAAAATTCACACTTTTACTTGATACATGTTGTATAGTCCTTGATAACTTGTAATTTGAAGAAGGAGCTATGCATTGGAAAACAGCATATTAAATCTCTTTCGCTACAATAATCACGACATGGTTAAAGTTAAAGTGGTAAATACTTCATTTGTGTTATATTTAGTGAAATATTGATGTCGTGTTGTTACTCTTGTCAAGTCAAGTAGTCCTCGTGTGTCAAAAGCAACACACGTAAAATCAGGAAAAAAACTCATAAAGGAGTTCCTAATTTGAAAAAAACGGCATCAATGTTAACCCGCACTTCTTACACCTGCTCCATCTAGTACATATTTTCTACAGGCATAGTCTATCTACGGTTCATTCATCAATATGCGACATATTTCACTGAAGTGACAGCATGACTGTTATGAGTTATTCGAAAAAAGCGAAATCCCTATAGTATGATAGGAAAAGAACATGATAACAATCTATAAACTGACAAATTATAGGACTATTAAATCCTTAAAATGAAGGTATCAGATTACTACAAGTCTTCAAAAGTGGATTAAAAGGAAGCTCTTTTTGATGCATTTGGTTGATAGTAGTTAGCAATGAAATTCAGCAAGCGCGTTTCTTCCTATTTAAGACTCATCAGCGGAATGTATATGCTCCCAAGTGACGGTAATCCCAATAAGACTCGAATCCTACGCCCATCACTTCAAATGCCAGAGAGTTGTGTCCATCAGGCTAGTGAGTCACGAGGACCACTTCTTGTGCGATGAGCCCTTCTGGTGCGTATTATTAAATAATTTATGTATATCCATAAGGGCATTCAGTAATTAGAATCTACCGCATCAAAAATCAATACTTAGATGTAACTGAACCTTGAGATCTCCGCTGACTTGATACAGGTCAAAAGATATCCTGAAGCATTATCCATCATGGTACTTCATTACAATCGTCACATATTGTTCAAAAACAAAACTTATTATTATATACGTTAATAGCGCACTTCTCTTAATAAGCTAGCGGGTGAGTGCCCTTTTTAAATACCTTCCATCCAGGAATGATCGCACATGATTACGAAACGCTTTACCTAGAAGAATATCGTGAATGAAATATATTTTACACATATTACTGTAACAATCTTACCTGCAGGTTTCATAACAATCGGTCTAATAACGTATTGTAGATTTATACTTCGACGATATTCACGTAAATAAATTTGGTTATCGGCACCAGCGAAAGGATTTCCACACTGTTTCATAATACGTGCACACACAGTCCATAGTCGGAAGCGCGATAGTAATTCTATTCAGTGAAGAATACAGATATTCATGCTAATTTAAAAAAAAACTTGTAGTAGTGAAAAAGAATCTGCGCCGTCAAATGCATGTAAACTAATTAACGAACGTTTTTCTGAAACGTTCGAAACGTGAACGGAAGAATAAACATAAAGTTAGGTTCGAATTTTCTTATTCCATGAAACTTTCGTCAATTCATTCTGGTGCTTCCATTCTCATATGAATGCTGGTAGGAAAACTGATAAAAACCACATCAAGTCAGAGACAAAACAGAACACAACATACAAACTATTGAACAACTTACCTTGGTTCGGGCGAGGCTAAAGGTTATCCACAGGTGTTAGCATGCTCATCATAGGTTGTAGTGTTGTTTGTAGAAAGACAAACATTTTCTGTGTTCTCTATAAATATTTTACCGATTCCCATAATTTTTACAATGCCATCTGTCCTTAAGTCGTGTTCAAACCTTTTATTCATGTGTAAAGTGTTGGCTACACTTCCACTTCTTAGGCGGAGAGTAAGTACAAGTATTCAGGATGAGTGATGCTCACAGATCACATTGAGTTAGTTGGAACTTCAAATTATATCTAAAAAGATTTATAATTCGAGTTTTCACTTCAGAACTTTCGCATACAGAACAGACAAAATACATATTTTCAGACAGAAGGCCATAACATTTGGGGAAAACTTTTTATCTCCCCCCCTTGATTCAGTCACCAGCATTGAAATGGAAGTGATCAAAGAAAAGTGTAAAAAGACAAATGACTACGTTTGTTGCAGAAAATTAAGATCTATGAAATCTTCAATCAATATAATTTCTAACAAATGATGCTCATCTCAGATAACACAAATAACAATCACATGAAACGTAACATTTACCGAAGCAAAATACACTAAATGTACAAGGGATTAAGTGATGCAGTCTTATTACCTATAATTCATGTATGAGGGTAATTAGTGTTACTTACAATCCACTGAATGCTTTTTTTAAACAAGGAGTTACAATCGGTTGGAGTTGATATACTATACATATCAGTCAAGTATTTAGGAGCAGTGACTTTTTTTAAAACAAATAAACTATGTGAGTGGTCAAGCTGTCTTATTTATCATAGCGCAGTATGAGTATGAGTACAGTATCATTTACGCAAAACTCACTGAAGTAAGTCAATTATTACTCAACCTTATAATGAATATCATTACTTAAATATGAAATGAATACCAGGTAGTATGCCATACAAAAATATCATGAAGTCGAAAGTTAAGATAAGGAGGAAAGCGAAAAGACAGTCAAGGGAAGTTCTTACTGCATTCGCATTATTTTTCAAAAATAGATATCAGAAAACTACACCATACTTGCGATTGTTTACAACTCTGACCATATATTCTTGCAATTTGTTTTCTTTTGTTTCTTTTCTATTACGGCTCCGCTCATGTAAAGTGTTGATACTGAGTGATGATTGAAGGTGAAATGAAAATTTGGACTACGGGCGGATTCCGACCAGCGGCCACCGGGTTTCTGACCTAATGCTCTAGCAACCGAGCTACGACGTTTGACTGCTGATCAAATTTTTATTTCACCTCAATCACCAAGATTTTAGCCCGACTACCATGTGAATGTGTGACGCGTTACTATCGCTTGATCGTACTCACAGTGGCTGCCCAGTCAGGCGGGAAACCAACTGGTCGCTGGTTCGAATCCAGCCATGTTTTAAGTTTTTATTTCACCCTCAATCATCTTCCAGAAGCAATAGTAATCGGTCAAACCGCGGCTATCTCAGATAGTCGAAATTATCATCTAAAGTACGCAAAAAGTATAGATAACTTAGAAAACCTACACTTTTGGAAGACTGAAGTAAGCCCACAAAAAATAACCAACATGACTAGTAAATATCCTATTCTAACACAATTATCATATTGATTTTGAATCGAGAATCAGAGAACCTATGAAGTAATAACTGAAACATGATGAAAATGCTTGTTGTTTAAATATTTCTACTGCACAATAAATTGGACAATAAAAAGTCTTATCATAATGATTTTAGTATTCAGATTGAGTGAAATTCTTCCGAATAATTTGTATAGAGAAAACAAAATTTACCCAAATATGAAATGAACCAATGTTCTAACTGAACCTCGCTAACCCATTCATTAACATGTAAACGTTCTGAACCCAAAGCTAATAATGCTGTACATACAGTTTGAACATGACCAGATTCAACCTAAACGAGAAAACAAATAATAAGTGCTATAATTTTCATAGCAGAAGTCAACAGTTAGTCATGACAATTTAATGACCAGTGACTAATAGTAATAATGATAATTAATGATCGTCACTCATCGGTCAACTCCATACCAGAATTTGAAGCGAACTTAGAATTCCATTTTCTCGATGTCTCATTGAAACGGAGACCAGATGGTTTACTTCAGAGGTCGATTTATAGGAACCCTACATGGAATGGACAATACTCGAATTTCAAGAATCACAAGAATCTGCACAAATATGATCGAAAATGGATTTTCACAAACTAACAAAGATTTTCGTACAAAATAAATACTCATCTAGATTTATTCAGAAAAACTTGAAATCCAAACAGAATACGAAGCAAGTACGCACAGCTCCGAAGAATACTTTGTTTATGAACCTTAGTTTCAAGGATGATACGGCAGCAGAGATCCTGAAGAATCGGCTATCCAAACTGCTGAAGGAGACATTCTTCTCACTTTGATACAAATATGAGCAATAAATTCTGGTCCAAAACGTCACCAAGTAAACAATACTGTGCCACTGTGTACCATATCAAATAAACAATCTAGTATGGGATTATACTCTACAACAGTGTCAAAGTTTTACTCTTACATTGATGCTGGACAACATATCTAAGAGATGAAATAGTTTATTTGACCACTTAAAATTTCAACTGATATTTCCTGGAACATAAATGGTAACGATGATCACTTGAAATAGTCTTTACGTGCTACCAGTCCTCTAGAATCTCAAACAAGAAACAGGTGATAGTATAACCTGAAGCTTCACTACTTCACAACATAGATTTAATAAACATATTAAAAATCGGCTATAAATTTGTTCTATGCCATCGTAGACCATCTTTGATTGCTGGATTTAGAAAATGACCCAATCAGATAACTATATCCAGCACTGGAAAAAATCGAAATCTTGGAAGCATAGCAATTATTTTAGGCGATTGTCAGCTTTTTCAATGATCTTAGAAGAAAGATACCGACTCATTAATATTGACAATGGAATTTCAAAAGTAAATCACATTTATCATTTAATTCAAGACAATATAAGCAACCATAGTGCGATTAGTGCTTCAGTTACCCACCAGTACCGTTGAGCCAAACTTTTAACAAAAGCTATTAACACGATTCACCTTGAATGTTGTTGCTCAAATTAGAACTTGACTTAGCATTTCTTCTGATTGAACTTGAAAAATGGTAGTTCTTAACAGGTAGTAGATAACCACCAAGCATTTTACAGGTGAATACGTAGGCCAATGCGTTATATTTGTACATATATCAGTCGTATTGATAGCTACTGCAGAACACAGTTCTATAATCAGCAACAGTGGCATATCTTTGTAGTTCATAATGAAAAACTTTCAATGGTCAAGATTTTTCCAATTAACAGTTCCATCATGTAAATTAGAATAAGACATAGAAGCGATCAATATTGTTTACAATTAGATCCTATTCCGGGGTTCACTCCAACATAAATAGCCAAATACATATAAAAATTAAACCACTCATGTAGATTTCTCGGTTAATAGAATAAATGTTTTAAAATAACAATGATGATTATAATACAAATAATAGTAATGATAAAAGTGATAACGTTGACTAATATGACTATAATATAGATGATAATGATGAAAAGAACCAAGAAAGTGGCATGAAAAGTTAGTCAATCTGATTGTTGAAAAGGGAGTCGAAAGCTTGGAAAAATAAAAGTTACGCAATACTGAAGGATAAAGTAGAAATACATTTGTTGTAAGTGTCATTTTTTACCCCTCCCCCCCCACTCCTTGTGTCACTTGTTGTCGAATCAAAATACACGATGAGTCAGCCTAAGTAACTAGTTGCACTAAATCTACAAGAACTACAAAAAAGAGGAAACTGGACAAGGGTTACTTTATTTCCTTGATGAGTGATGATACCGTCTGAAGTGTTATAACCAAAAATGAATTAATCTTTATGGAGCGTTTTTGTCTCGTTGCGTTTCCGTCTTTAGAATCCTTGAAGAACGCCTTAAAGGAGTATGAGAAGTAGATGCACACATACTTTGTTGTGCATGATTTACATTTGCAAGGTGACCGAAGAGCTTACGTTAAGTTTGTTTGCTTTAAGGCTAGTGGACGCCGGTCAATAGATGGTGTAGTGACACGAAGGTCAGTTCTGTTTGTTCTTGACATATATTTTATAAAATATCCCTGAAATACCCTTGTCCAGCGATTGTGCTCACCAAGTTTTTAGATTTCCGGACAGTAACTCAGTGGTTGTTAACTCACAATCATTCCTGCGATTCACTGCTTTATGATAATAGTTCTTGGACCAGGAAGTTGACGGGAGTTGAAATGGACAGCATAAGGTCACTGCTAATATATGGGACGGCTGCGTTTAATGTTGTTGATTTCATTCATGCACAATGTGGTCAATGACTGAATAATCAAGATGTGTTCAATATGCATTATCGCTTCTTCGTTCGATGTAATTTGACCGATAATTGAATTTCCCCATGAAACCATTTTGTTGCAGGCAGTTATGAAAAATTGGGGGAGCACATAGTCAGTCCAGGTGGATCGGCATCCTTTTCTGTCACAAAGGATGGACATCTGAAACACTTTTCTCTGCCACCTCGAACCAAATGAAATTTGCTGAAAATTGTCTTGGATAGACTAAGTCTACACAAATATAGCGACCACCGTTCGCTGGTTCGAATCCGTCGCAATTCATATCTTCACCTCCAGTCATTATCCAGTATCAGTACCAGTCTGCGAAACCACAGCTATCTCAGGTAATCAAGATGATTCTCATGATTATTATTCTTCACCCCATTCATATTTGCTTAGATTTCGTTTATCCACTTATTTCGTCCTTCAGTATTGCGTAACTTTTATTTTTCCAAGCTTTCGACTCTCTTTTCAACAATCGGATTGTCTAACTTTTCATGCCACTTTCTTGGTTCTTTTCATCATTATCATCTATGTTATAGTCATATTAGTCAACGTTATCACTTTTATCATTACTATTATTTGTATTATAATCATCATTGTTATTTTAAAACATTTATCCTATTAACCGAGAAATCTACATGAATGGTTTAATTTTTATATGTATTTGGCTATTTATGTTGGAGTGAGTCCTGAAGAGGATCTAATTGTAAACAATATTGATCGTTTATATATCTTGTTCTAACTCTTCCTATTTAACACTGAGATGTTTGTTAGTCATATCATATCCAAAAAGACAATACTTTAACCTACCAGTTCCACAAACCATTTACCAATTATGGCATTAATTTCACCTGATATCGGAGATAATGATCCAATAGGACTGAATGTATGTCCATTTAGTAACATAGTTGATTCTTTGTCAAAACCAGATGATGATTTACTATGAAGCCATGGTGCTAACAGTTGAATTTCCTTTTTATGTTTATTAAATGATTTGTCTTTTGTCAGAGATGAAGAATTCGATTCTGATGCCGAAGAATTCGAGATAAAACGCTGATCAATTTCATCATGATCAGCATTTTCCAGTTTTTTTTCATTACAACATATTTTACTAGCTTGAATTCCTTCTTTATGCTTTTTTTCATCATCATCATCACCACTATTATCAGAGGGATTAGGATTAATGAATGATGAATCAGAAGGAGCACTGAAGGCATTCGGGATAGAAGTGGATGGAGAAAAGAAAGTAAAAAATAATCAGATGACAACGGTACGAAACTGAAAAGTTGTTCGTATTATTATAAACTAGAAGGATTAGTTAGACTTAAATCATGTAGTCTGAATGAAGAAGCAACAATGTAAGCCAATGAGCATGTACAGACATACAACTCATAGACAGAATGGTGATTTAAAGTTTAAGCTGATAATTCATCGGAAATATGGGCAACCCGTGAAAGGCGACAACAGGAATCGTCAACGAATAGACATTGTAATTTCAAAAATGCTACAATACTGTGGAAACATTCATCTCGACCTATGACATTATAAAAAGTTGCAACCATTAAACTGTTGTGTATATTTAGCTAAGCAAAACCTGGTAGTAAAAATCCTGCATGCTACTATGCGTCACATGAGATGGAGTACTGGATGAATTCTAGAAGAAGAACGTGCACAAGTGTACATAAGCATGTTGAATTGCGATAAAGCATGAGACGATACACTATGTTACTTTCAAGGGTTTAATCGAAACAGATACGGTGTATACCTTAATAAGTCATGCTCTTTTGTCTTGTATTTTAATATGTACACGTTGTTCTCTCTGTTTGTTGCATTCTAGCTAGTTGAATAAGAGCCGGACGTCTGGAGGACAGGAATAACATCCAACCTATGTTGTGTGACCTCGGTATGTCAATAATTTATTTTTATGTGCTATAACTGAAGGGACCTCCTATAGTTTTGTATCCATGTACATTTACATATACTCTATGTAAATGCAGCAAAATTGCTTGTGGTGCCGTCTGACTTAGCTAGTTTAATGGGAATAACGTCAAGAAATGGTTCGAACATTGCAACCACATTGGCACTCGTAGAATAAGCTAAACAATAACAACCAGATATAATATACAAAGCGATAGAGCAAAAATTTAACAACTTGGAGATCAAATATATAGCGACATGCGACAGTAAGGCACATTAGGGAGCTCAAATGACAATCGAAATTCTCTGAAGATCAGATGCAAGCTGATCGGTGAAAATATCTACTACCCTAACATGTAAATGTTCAGGATACAAGTGATCCTTTCAAGCATCACACTATTTACATAAGATGGTGCTCTAGTTTGAGGTGTGCACCATCAAATGAGTCGATTAATATGATAACTTAGGCTTTTTTTCAAAATGTCTTACCATAAAGTTACTTACTTTTGAACATCTTTCACCGCAGTTATAGGTAGGCCAGGAAAACTTGAAGCTGGTAAAATCTGTCTAGTCCCCCAATCAACTAACGACAAATCGCAACACTTGGAAGTAAGAATTTTGGTACAATCCATTGATTTTCTCTGTGGTTTTGAAGATGAAGCGTTCCTCTTGGGAACTGATGCATCAGCAGAGCATGACACAACGTCAAAGCTATTACTGTCATGAATTTCATCTGCAGCATTATTAAAAGTTTCACCGAGAGAACTGCATACGACTGGTTGTTTCAACTTTCGGTGCTTATTTTGATGGATGTAGAATGAATTGTCGTGTTGGCATTGTGACTGATCTTGTTGCTGCAAAGGATGAAAAGTCGTAGGGAATGCTTCATCAGGTAGATATTCTGTCTCCATTACCACTGGATCATCATGTGAACCAATCACTAATTATGAAATACGGAGAATTAGAAAAGAAAATATATTGCAGTAAAATGTATTAAAGAGGCTGTTATGCGACTGAGAATGCAAGATTATCATTTGAAAGAATAATTCATGGAGAATGAATTACCCGTGAGAATTGGATAAATAAGAAGTTCAAGAAAACAATTTTATGGTGCTATATACGTGGAGAGAAATACTGAGTGGTGAAACGATAGATCTATTTAAATCCTTGCAACTATCAACAGTATAAAGACTAAATGAATAAGACTAAAATAATGGATGAACCCAAGGATAAGTATAAAAACAAAGGAGGAAAAAGGATTTTCACCTACAAGAATCAGGAGCAGATATACAACATAAATTAACTTCAAATTATAATACGACTCGTTCAGTTCAACTAGAAATCTTAGACACCTCAAATAAACAAATTATGGTTTTATTTTTCCATATAGCAGAGTAAGTCAACAAAAAATCAAGCACAAATAAGGAGCTTTCATCTATTTCACGCTAGCCTTTACTTCAATGTACATTTTTTTCTCATTGTCAAATCACTGGTCTGCAGATGATATGATATCACTCATATCTTCTTGATACTTAGCTGTTCCAGGCAAGATGTGAACTCACCGATCTTGAAACAGGGGCTCTGATCTATCAGCATCATCCTCGGCACTCTATGATCTACCACAATATGCTGGATTGGCGCCTAGTATGTAGCATGCTCTGTTATCACCAGCAGGTACTGATTGTCACTAACCTCCTGCGGAAGCAATCCGATTAAATAGACTGATCGTGGGTTAGAAAGTGCTGTTGGTGGAATCCATTGCAACGGTCATCTTTCTTCAACTGAAACTTCACGCAGGCAAGCACATACTTTGCAACATCGTCTCTCATACGTGACCAGTGTGCACATTGTTTTAAGGGGGTCTATCATTCCTGCAATCTCGGTATGGGCGAAGTGATGGCATCTGTAAATCACCTCGCGATGTAGGCCTTTTGGAATCACCGCTATCCAACTGATTTTGTCATCGCACCAGGTCAGAGCACTTTTTGCATCCACCTTCAATCTATTGTCCAGCCAAAGCAGCATTGTTACTTCCCTGTCTACAGTATACTTGTCATCACCGATCGTTTTATTTATAGCTTTGATTACTGCTCAAAAAATAGGATCAGACGCATGATGACGGACCAATTTTAGTGGATCCCGCTCCCGGGCGCTAACTGTGTATGCTGTCTCGAGAAGTTCCGCTACCGTATCCAACCTTAACGAATAATCCCCTTTTAGGTTTTCCTTCGCCTGAATATGCATAATAGTGAAGCCATACTTTTGTATACGTCACATTCACTATGACAGCTTCCAATGGGAGGGGGGGTCTCTTGGTGTTTTCAGTCACTGGAAGGGCTTATGTCTAGTTTCGGTATGTAACCAACGACTCAACAAGTAAGGTTTCAATTTGTCTAGCGCCCATGAGATAGATAATTATTCCTTTTTAAACGCGAAATAGTTCTGTTCTGCTGGCGTTAGGATAAAGCTGGTATACTCCACAACACCGTCCGACTGTCTTAGGACGGCACCAATGTCGTCATCACTTGCATCTGCGACAAATACGAACTGTTTTTCAGGTACCGGTAGTCGTAATTTCGGCTGTCGGTCAAACGTCTTCTGCGATGCTCCTGTTAATGTGGACTTCATGCTACTCAGCAACTTACACACAGGTGCTGATATCTCGCTGATGTTTTTAACAAACCAGCTATAGGATGTTGCTCTTCCAGTGAACTGTTTTGGCTTTCTTTTAAGACTGGGTATTATAATGTTCTGAATAGTAATAATTTCCTCGGGCGGTTCCTTGATCTCTTCTTTTCTTACTTAGTAACCTAACAACGTGACACTGCTCTTAGCTGTCTGAGACCTGTTCCTCTTAATTCATAGTTCCAACCCCCTCTAGGACAGCTTCCATCTGCTTTACACGATCACTTTACGCGTGGTTGTACACAACCAAGTTGACAACACACAACTCGATACTCTTTAGGTTTCTGAGTAATAAAGTCATGAATCTTCGAAGGGTAAAAAGAGCGTATGTTACATAAAATAATGTTCGTTTAAACTGGTACTGTTTATGATTTACAGCAAGTGCTGATTTGCTTGGATTACTGTCATTTATTGGCAGTTGCTAGTAACCTGACCGTAACTGCAAAACTATAAGTAATCCGGAGTTTTGTAGGCAATCTCATGTTCCTGCCACTATATTTGGATTGCACATGATTTCAGTTCTTTCATATAGTTTCTTCCTTCGGGATCCCAGTGGACTTCTTTCCAAAGAATATCGTTGACTGGCATGAACCATCAGCTTTTTCAATTATTCCGTAACTCAGCATCCTTTGAACCCATTGTTCTACTTTAACCTTTAATTTAACAGGAATTCGACCCGTTTTAAATGTCGTCATTCCGCATTTATTTATTAAAATCCCATGTTGCACCTTGTCACAAAACCTATAGGACTTTCCATCTCAAGTATATAATTTCGCACATTTCATCCTTTTTCGTGGCTACTGTTTCTATCTTCCCTTCGGCAAGTTTGCTAATTTTATGCATCGCAAATGGGCAGTAATTCGTGGTAAACTGTCTACGTCGCGTGTTGATTATCGCTCCTACCTCCATACGAAAGTCCGCTCCCAATACTGTTCGTCGTAGTGAAGAGGAAGGGTATTTTACGATTGCTTATCTCCACAACGCAGTCTGAAATCCAAAAATTAATAGCGCATTTCCCACTACAGTCTGGGCTGCTAACACACATGGTTTGAAGCTCTGATACTGGTCTTTGCTTAATAGCGAAATAGCTGTGTCAACTATACATGTTACCTCTTATCCATTTATGCCTATTCTTGCATCAATTGGTTCCTACTTATTATTGTAATAACTCCCAGTTCCATCGAAAAGATAAAAAGTATACCATATTGTTTTTTAAAAAATGCATCTCCATCCCACCGGGAAGTGTTTGCCCTAACGCCCTGTTTTGTCACAGGCGAAGTCACGTGATGCTGTAGTTCCGCCACTTGTTTCGCGATCATGGCAATTTCTTGACCCAAACCCATCAGCGATGCCACTGTCTGACTCATCAGCAACTTGGTCACCTTAGCCAATTCACTGATATCCATCGTTTGCGTGATGTTTACTGGTTGAAACTACTATGCGATAGCTGTCGATATACTTTCAACAAACTGCGAAGTCAGCAACAGCGCTTTAGATTTTTCATCCAAAGTTGGCAACGCTCGACACAACAGATTTGCCAACAAAACTGCCAACATTCACAGGTCATAATTTATCCCAAGCTTCGTGCCTCTCAATCTATGCCGGGAGTGCTATCTATTCACTGAGTTATGAAACTCAACGACAAATCTCCCATGATGTCCTCCTCCTCCATACTGTCGTACATCCCCTTCGCCCTTGGCTACTGGATACCCACCAACTCAGCTATGGCACTGAGAACACCATGCTGTAGATTAATTACATCCGATCGAATAGATGGTATACTCCACATAACGGCTTTATTATCTTGGCGATGAACAAAGAATATCATGAAGAAAATATAAAGAAATGTAACATCGCACTACTATCTTCCTATCGTAATGAAAAGATGAACAGTATCACAGGGTTAGTGATAAGGATTTAAGCAGAAACTGAGTTTGAACCGAACAATGACAATACAAACAGAAGTCCACCCGTTGACTACCATCACTTAACAATGTGTTTCTTAGCATAAGTATCCTAAACGGTCTAGCTATCACTGCATTTTACTAAAAACACAGATAAGAAAATATTACATCCTTTTCTTGTTCATCAAGTAGAAAGAGATAAATGTCAAACTAATGTTATAAGCATTACCTTCAATAAGATCCAGTTGTTTTGGTCCCCTACACAAACAAAAAAAAAGAAACAAAATCTCCATTATTATTTAGAACGATGATAAGTAAACTGTAGGTAGTAATTGAGACAGAATCAATGAAACAGAAGTGTTATGGAAATTTTAAATTGTGTTAATCACTTTAACAATTTCCACTAATAAATGATTCATCCAAGTCCACTTGACTATAGTGTCAATAATGCGTAATTTTGACTGAAACCCAAGAAACTGCTATTCAGTATGCCGCATACATATAGCCGATTGGTGTGTCAAGCACCAATACTCAAAATGAAGAAATATCTCCAATTATTTTGAAATATGAACAAGAATATATAGAATATTCACATGGTAACATTCAAAAGATGAGAATTTAAGGAATATGTATTTCCTTTCAAGTCTCATCAAGCTTTACACTACGAAATATACACATGTCGAGTTATGACATGAACTTGAAAACTGATAGTTCTATGTTCATTAAGCTCATTTTGAGAATAAAATTGTGTAACGGTTTATTTCACAGGATTTCATATAATTAGTGAATAAATGGATTAGCAGGAATAAGGATTATCAATTTCAACCAAGTTAAAATCAAAAAAAGTCTGGTTTTTATCACAATAATTCCAGTAATTTGAAAGCGAATTCTTACTGCTTATGGTATTTGATATGATATCTTGTGGATTACTGAAAAAGTAGACTTAATGTCGACATTATGACTTGTATCAGTTAGGTGGGATTACTGGATAGGACTTGTAATCTCTCCTTTTAATACCACAAGATGTTCTTAGGCACATTTTGAAACGGTTTCTATAGTTTGTCTTAAATAGCTAACTACACAAGAACCAATCATTTCCATTTGTTGCAGAAAATAAATATTCATCAACCTTTAGTTTAAAGGTGATAATCTAGCCGAAATTAGCACAACTAGACTTCAATGCTCAGGGAAGAAGACGTTCGCTAAAACCCCTCTGAGACCGACTTTCAGTAGCAGTTATATCTTATCACCATATCTGAAAGATAAAATTTCTCATATCTTTATTCAACTGTTCCTGTGGACTCAGCTATTTAACAAGCGATATGAAAAACGCGTCACAACGTACGAAAGAAAATTCCCTGGTATGGCAGGGAAAAGAGGAAGTAAAACAGATTACAAGTTCAACTCAACCCTTCCTAACTGACACTGGTAACAGTGTTTTCAGTAATACAAGGTGTACCTGATCAAATGCCGCAAACAGTAAGAATTTGCATTTTTCAAACCACTAAAGCTATTGCAATAAGAATAACAAAACCTGATGAGATTTAGATGAAAATACATATTGCTAAAATCCTCATCTATGGAAAAATAACAGTGGTCTATTGAACATCTAGGGTTATATCGCTAAGAGGATATATAAACCAAAGTAAAAATAGGAATAAACAGTGAATTGTTACTGTTACACTAGGTCATCCATTAAACTTTTGGATATTACATCAAAAAGTAAAGTTGCAACTCAGTGATCTAAACAATCACCTCTTAATAACGGTCATTAGTGGTTCAGTATTATTATTATTATCGGCCTTGAAACAACACATCCTGGCTCAAAACATATGACATGAAGCTACACTACAACTGAAATGTGTAGTAATTATGATAAAAATTTTTTAAAAAAAACAATAATTCCAATTGCTTTCATATTTATACCTTTTCGCTGCATTATCTTCAACTAACGGAAGAGGTGCTGACTTTTGAGGACTAGTAGGGTGGAATAAATAGTCCATATCCTCTCGATAATTATTAAATAACAATCCACTAGGTGATATATCCTGTTCAAGCTTTCTTAAAATAGACTGTGGATGCGGTATTGTTGGTGGTGATGCTGATGATGATATTGATGATGCGTGTTGATCATCATCAATTGTTAATGCTTTATGCATGTCCATATAACTAATATTTACAGGAATTGATTTGGTTGTACAAATTAATAATTCGTTATTTAAATTTGGAAGACAGACTTCATTATGTGGATTGGTTGACGATGATAGGGTAGAGAATGCAGTTGATGGATTTTCACCTCCTGATCCAGAATACGAAAGAAATCTGTGTGTAACCGGAGGAATGTCGATAAGATGTTTAGCAACCTTGTGGTTTCGTACTTTAACATTTCCTGATGAATGTCTTCCTGAAAAGAAACAAAAGGTAAATAAACTAATATAGGAAAATACTTGTTTCCAATTAACAGATCAACATTATAAAGCATGAAAAAAACAACTAATAATAAATAAAATTAAACGGTTTATTTGTCAAAAATCCAACCGTCAGGCGGAAATTCAGATACAATAATCTAACAGAGGTAACCTTGAAAATGCGTTAAATGATTGAATAGATGCAAAACAAATGAGGAGGTTTGTCGAGTGAACAATAAAACAATGACATAAATGAAGACATATCCTCCAGTGACTAATAGGCTTCATGAGACTGGTAATAATGAAAAGATGCTTTTGTCGTAAAAGTATGTTCAGACATAAATAGATTTTTATTAATCTTATTGCTTGTAATTTCCAGTCGTTTTTTGAAGCAGAATTTGATTATGATGAAACACGCGGGAAAATAGTTTTGTTTGAAAACAAAAAAATCAGCGAAGAGACCTCTTTCAACGACCTTTTTCTCCACCTATACAATTGTATACACATATATGATAGTGAGATCCTTGAGCGAATTTAAGTTTAACTAATTGATGAAATAATAATAATGATGGAAATGGGGCTATCGTGACATAGTAGTCTACTGGATTACGCTCCGATACTTAAGGTGATGTATTCGAGACCCAGTGGGAACTTTATTCTTTGAAGGGTAGACACATTCAGCTGATGAATTATGAATCGGACGAAATGCACATCCTGAGTTCTACTGTTAGCCACTATCCATTATTGGTATGCATGAGACTGGTTAACTGGAATAAAATACATGTTTTTTGCGAAATGTGGTTATTACAGGGATTGACTGAAGTAACATCGTAAATGTAAAAACAATAATATGACAATAAAAAGAGTGCAGAAATTAATCCAATAAAGAGGATAAGTCACAAAGAAATGAATTTAAGGACATGATACAGATAAAAACTGCATTTACTTCTTTGGCAATATAATGATCACGCTTCAGATCATGATACCTCTGGTGTTTTAAAAAGTTGAAAATGAAAAAAAGGGTGGAGTATTTGAGCGAATTCAATTCCCAACTCTAAAATTGTTTACACCAGCTGAATAGTTGGAATTAGTCATATCAAAGGATGGGATTTACAAGGAAGTTCGCTCTACCCTTAAAAAAACTAGACTGGAAAATGTTCTCCTATTTATGTTGACAGTAATCTTTGATTACGACCGAAGTACCTTGCTCCACCAGGGCAGGTACAATGGTAGTTGAACACAAAGGTGGTTAACAAAAGATATTGTTGTTTATGTATAAAGAGAAAATTTTATGGTTGGTAAAGGTTAAATGAAGTTTCGCTGCGGAGAATGTTCTGTTGATTGATCTCGAAAGAGGAATTCTTAAGAACATCTGATGTTTCTTCATTTTTAAATCCCAAGTGTATGAAGAGTTTTTTTTTAGAAACTGAGTTAGTGACTGGTTTAACATATGTTGAAACTAAGTGCAGAGTAACGAAGGTGAGTCAGTTGAAAAAGTTCTCATAAGTAGATGGGGAAAAACAGGCATTTTCGATGAGCATTAGCTGACGAATCCATCAGAAAGAAGAACTTGCAATTCATTGATAATTTTTTTCATATTTTCATAACTTTTGCAAATGTCACATACATTATATTCAACCGTGCCAAATTAAAATGGGAAAGCTTTGCTTTGTGCACTAATCTAAACTTCTTTGTTTCCCAGTGTGGACCCAGAGAAAACTGACAACAGGGGAAATATATCAATATGAGCCAAGAGAACATGAAACTAGACGATATAAATATGAACTGCAGTTATTCTAGTTTCTATGATATGGATGGTGAGGGAATTTCATCAAATCCACTTAGCCATGCAGGAACTGACTTGCTTATTGACTTTCTGTTTTCGATACTTTGGTTGTTCAAAGTCTCAATTAATGATGGAGTCATATACCTAGCTATACAAATACCAAAGCCTTGTTTTATGATGGATGACCAGTTTCGCAAATTTACTGGGGGAAGAAATTTATTTGACTTACAATCGTTCACGCACTGATGCTCAATCTCAAGATTCTGTTATCAGCTAGTTCAGGGTTCAGACACAGAATAATCGTATTACCCAAGGACATTTAAGCAAACGGCCATATAAACATCGAAGAAGAACTTAAGAACACAAAGAGAGCATATTTTGACTGTTAAATGGGATTCAAATAATGTGGTTTATACCGAAATGCACTCTAACATTAAGGAGTCAAGTGGTTAGTCATGCTAAACATTTTGATAGGTTACGACTGAGTCAGTGACCAAAGTAATATTCATCACTGATAATGTTCAACTTTAAAGTTGTAGAACCTGCAGTGTGAGTATTCTGTACGAATACGCCTGACAAACTGAGTATGAGGTCCGGTAGTCTACTGTTTTCAGACACATATTGAAGATATAAAATCATTGATATTCGCATACTACTGTTTAGTCATGATGAAATCATTAGGTCAGTATTCAGGTTGAGGGTGGAGTTTTAAACATGAAATTGAGTAAGACGATTATATCATGGATCTTGGTTAAGTAAGGTGTTTGAGCACGTGCTAAAAATACCAAGCATTAGCCTTAAAATGGAATGACGGTTGAAATATTGGAGTTTTAGATACAAGTTTATTAGACCAAGTAATAAAACTAATCAATGAAGTCACTGAGTGTTGTCTTAAGCCTATAAGTGTGAACTATCTACCTGAAGTCCGCAAGGTGTTGATAATCAGAGGTGGCAAAATTTATCACACACGATTTGAAAATCTACCACATTGATCCAGAGGTATTTATACTCTTTCTTACATTCCCAAACATGTTATTACCTTATGCTGACTTAGTTATTGTCCACATATTTCTATTTTATAATTCCTTTGAATATATTCTATTTTTACTTTTATTTAAGTGTGTCTGTTAATTCCTTTCTCATTTGTTCTCATTTACTTTGCGATGTAACCAATGTGTACCTTTTTATACTTTCAGTTTTATACTACTTAGTACTATTGAGTAGCATAATTGATATCCCCCATAATGTTCACACAATTTGACTGTCCATCATGTAATATCCCGAGGTACTATTACTCTTCACCGGTTCATGACCGTGTTGCGGTTTCTTTTGTCGTTCCCTAGTATTTTACTTTACCTTGAACATTTATCTCTCATCTTTACTTCATCATGCGATACATGTGTCCCTTCTGGTTCATTTTGGATACATCCTTGTTGTCGGCACTGTGGATGCACTCCCTGTAGGGTGATTTAATAGCAATATACCCACAGACACCTCACGATTCGAAGTTTTTAATTTACCATTTACCATTTTTTATCAATACAGAACCGTATATCAGGCAAATCACGTGTTTGGGGTTTAACGCGTAACACGATCGTTTGGTTTATTGGTGGAGAATCGCTTCGGTTCCAAATTTCTTACGAAGAAACTCCTAGTACCATTTTGAGATATGGTGTCATTTATGGAGATAACACTATAACAAGTTCTACCATACTCTCAAACCACCTGGGTATAAAATAAAACTGACTTGAATCATGCTTACCACAGCCCTCTCGAACAGACCAATCAGAATACATAGATGAGAAGTTTTATACTTATTGATCATCTGCAGACAAAAACAATGTGCAACGTCGCACACAAGTTGTCACATTTCACAATAGCATAAAAAGAGCAGGCGGATGGAAAAAGATCGATATCAAAACATTTTTGTTGATTTATTAGATGTACCAGCATTATTTACTGGATTAAGTTTCGGACACAATTTATTGTCCATTGTCATATCAACATAGCTACACAACTTTGAGACATGGCTTATATAGTTCTAATACTCTCGTCTCCTTTGTGATATGGGTAGAAGGGTTTTCCACATATCCGGAACGGGAGCTGAGCCATTTCTGTTGTATGTATTAGGTGTTCGTTGGATAAATAAAGACTCAGTTGTCACACTCTCTCTGTTGGTTTTAAGGCTTTTCACTCTGTCGCATCCCCTCGTGCAGCTGTGTGGAATTGCATGCACAGATCAGGTTAGGCTTTTTTCTAAATTCCTCATCTTACTAGGATCTACCAATTTTGACCTAGATAGGTTGTTGTGCTCCGATAGCCTAATTGACCCTGGTCGACTACTTTGACCTATGCATTTGATCTCCCAATCGATGCAAGGGATTTGGTAAAATAAATCATTCTACCCAACTGTGTCAGTAGGATCTTATAACCTACGGAGCTCATTTCTAAGTTTGTAGGTTTAAATGCCACTTTAATCCCAGCTTTACTGAGAATCCTACCCAGTGTTTCTGAGGTGTATTCCTTATATGTTAATACTGTACAGGTTTTCAGTTCTCTTTTCACAGTTTTGCCACTATTATGATCAATGTTACTTTTACTACTATTAACACCTGTGTTACTAATATTAGTCATATTTTTCTTGCGATTCCTTCTTCTCAATTAATTTAGGAGGGTAAGTGTTGATGAGTAAGATAGCCTTAATGTGTCTGGTTTCTTGTCTTAGATCTTCTGTTTTACCAGTACGTTTTATAGCCTTGTTATTTAGTCATTTTACCAAGATATCTTTAACTCATACATGGTAGTATCAAAGCAGACAGGGGTCCAAAGAGAGAGGAAGGATTTGCTAATCAATATTGATGAAAATGTTCAAGCTTTAGAAGAAGTCGAAGAGTGAATACATCCCTGCCGTTGTGACAGATTCTTAGCCATTCCCACTAAGAGTTCTCAACCACTGATTCCTATAATCTCGAGGACATAGCCGGGTAGTCTACACCTCCTTACAACGCCCAGATCAACAGTCAGGGACTTTATGCAGTGGTGCCATGTCTTGGCCTCGACATCCTGAACCTTAATCCAACTTCTCCCAGCATTGCACGTCTATGTAGGCGGTGGGTCGGGATGCACAACATATGTCCAAGCCATCTCAGTTGACTAAAGTTTACAACTCCATCGATTGGCTTGTTAAGTACTCTTCACTTAACTTCGTTATTGTTAACAGTGATTCCACTAGACACGAGCAATGGTACAAAGACACCTATAGTCAAAAACCTGTAACCTCTTCATATCTCCCATTTTCAACGACCATGTCTTACAGCCATATAACAAGACAGAAAAGAATGCAGTGTGGTATACTCATCCCGTGTTAGACAGTCGGATATCCCACCAGTCACTGCCATAGATGACGTAAATTGGTAAATACCAAACGGACCTTCTGTATCCGAGCCCGATCGGGTTGATGTAACTTCTCAAGTAAGTGAAGTTGCATTGTCTCACTTTATTCCTTATCATCAAACTGGGAGTGACTGCAGACCTGTCCTGGAGCATCATCTTAATTTGACAGATGCGAGACGCATGCCAAACATACTCAGATTTCTACTCGATGCCCTCCAGAGACAAGTCCCTATATGCTTTCATATAGTTGAATCAGTTTGAGTGGAGACCTTTAACAAAGTTACACAATTGCTCGGTACTTCCTTTATAGTTGGATCCTGATAAAACAGCTCACGGTCTACAGAGTCCAAAACCACTTTCAAGTAAGTTTGCATGTGTTCCACAACATGACGAAGACTTAAAACAACATCGTTGGTTTTGATATCGATAGACGACAAAAAAAAGATAATGCCTCCTCTTATGTTTGAAGTTACTGCTGGTTAAAATCAAGTGATTGTCAGAACAAAATTTCAACGGATGATCAACTTTGTCGGTTCGTTGGGATGGGATTGTGTATCTGCCTCCAAGATGCATTTCCGATTGGCTCACCGTCTCCAACTGAGTGTTGAAGCTGCCCACCATTATGACTATGAACATTTAGTTTTAACTAACAAAATTGACAGCTTTCAGTAGAATTAAGCCATTGTATCATTCAAAATGCAGTCGGTTAGCGCGTAGGGGGGAACTACGAATAAGTATCGGCAAGTTTCACAAAACCTCCTTATCCTTACTAATCCATTCATTCAGACAGTACATAGTTGGCTGTTGACTAGTATCCAGTCGAGAAGTTCACTTTCTGCTCTACAGCTCAATGCTGTGTCTACACTATCGAGTCCAAGAGTTATCCACTGGGTCTCCAAACACTCCCAAATCGAAGTCCAAAGACTTGCCCTACTGGCCAAGTGAGGTCAAGTGAATAACTATCGGGTTCTGTATACGTGTCTCAAAATACAATATAAAGCAAAACTAGAAATTTAAGCGTTTTAGCAAGAGGTGCTTCTTGTCTGACCTAGTATAAGGTTTGAACGTTGAAAGTCCACTGTGAAATCAACAGCACGGTTCCAGGAAACTAGGAATGGTGTTTCGCTGGCTAGAATCATTGACAGTGGTTAGAGTATGAGGTTGAAGGCGTTGTAAGAGGTTGAATATAAGTATTAGGAAGTGAAGACAAAGGTTCAGGATGGTGTTATGTTTTTTAGGATTTTGTAAGCTACTGGAAACGTTCGGGAGGTTGGTACTTCTCGGCCCCCCACGCCATGAAGCTGTTTATGCAGGGTACCCGAAAGAGACAAAAGCCAAATATTTGTGATCACACAGTCCATGGGACATCTGCCTGAAGCCTGTCACATAAGGCCTTTGAGATTTAATTGCTCAGATAGAAAAAACCCATACCGGCGGCACCGGAATACCTCAGGGTACGGAGGAGCTCTTTATTTTTGGGGCTAACCTTTTCTGCTTCGAGGGCAATGGTGCTCGTCTAGCCTTCCACCCTTAATGATCACATTTCAAAGCCATATGGCACAACAGAGTGAACTGCAAAGCAGTACACTCGATATGTAGTAGGCGATCGGATATGACACCGGAACCAGAAGTCGCATAAGTTGGCGATGGCTAACCGAGCCTTTTATGTCAGTGCGGTCATTTCATAGGTAGCCACCGGGGCTGATTCGACTTCCCACGTAAATAAAGTAGGCCACCCATTCGAACACTTCAATCCCAACTGTTAAAGAAGGCACCAGCGAAAACCAGTCTTGGAGAATCAGTCTGGATTTGGGTGGTGAGGAACACATCCCTAACACTTGCAAGGTTTACAGTGCACCACATCTTGTCAGCTTCTTCACATAAAGCGACTATGCCATCTGCGTATCTTAGATCTACTGAGTATTCTTCTGTGACAAGATCAATCTACGTGAAGTCAGACGACGACAGAGACCTCCATAAATACGTCTATAGCAAAATTAAATAAGACTAAAGACAGTAAACATCCCTGATAAGTACCACTTGACGTAAACATCTCACATGCTAACTCCCCATAGGCTCTAAAACACTCAACGGTGTTTGAATACAAAGCTTTCAACAGAGTTATATGATTATCCAACACTACCGGCAGCAAGACACTGCTGTAAGACCTCTCAATATACGGATCCAAATGCCGCTTTCAGGTCACGAAGTACAGCTAATGTTGGGTGTTTTAAAACTCGGAGGACGGTGAAACCTGTCTGGTTTTCTCATATCTGCTGTTTCCGAGCTCCACTCGGACGCGTGATAATTATAGGACCTAGAATCTTCGACACTATTTTAGTTGGACTGATTCGATGGTGGTTATTACAAGGGGATTTTCCCCTCTATTGAAAACTGACACTAGTCAAAGGGGATCATATCTGACTCTTATACACTAGCTAACACTTCATTCAACCTGACGAATCATCCAAGACCATCGTCCTCAAACAACTCAGGTACTAAGCCATCTGGTTCCACTTTCCCTCTTTGTTTCAGTTTACTTACAGCTTTCTCGATTTCAGCAGGTGTTAGAGGTCCTATCTCAATGTTACATTCAGTATTAAACTAGGTAGTGGGTAACGGAGTAGTTGTAGGTTAGTTGAACTATTCTTCAGAGTGTCACACCAATCGTTCCAGTAGTTTCCTTTGTGAGTGAATCGCAAACCAATCCATCTTCACTTTTAAAAAACTGATTAAATTGCCCTAATCATAAATAATGAACTGATTTATTCAGTCAGTAAGGAAAAATGTCATTTAAACTTACTGTAATCCAATTTAAACTTAGATGTTTTCTTTTGAGTTACTCCTGGTTCACGATCTCGAAAACCCAACGTTTCTAAAATATACGATAGTCGAACTCCTGTGGAATTGCTAGGTGTATTTACATCGAGTTGTTTACATTTCTTACGTTCAGGATATTGAGAATATTTCAAAGAAGTTTTATTATCATGATTATGAACGTATAATGAGTCAACAGGTCGGACCATCGTATTGTCGCTAGCTAATGAGCACTGAACTGTTTTGGAATGTTGAGGCTCAAGATCTGACCGACTGTACATATTTACCATTTGGTGTCCTTGTTGTTGTTGCGGTGGTGGGTGAGGTTGTGATGCATGTTGCTGAGATGTACGTTTGTCAGAGCCGAGACTACCATAAACTGAGCGCAATAATATCCAGAACTGCACTAACTGAATTGTTTAAAAATGTTCAAAAATAAAAATTAACTCAGCATAAATTAAAATTACATGATACAAAATCGCTACCATACAAGTCGCTGTGATTGAACTGAAATGACCAACTTTAGTGATAGACACTTGAAGCTAGCAACTATTTCTAACTAGATGATACAAAATTACCTGTCCAGACAAATAAAATAAATAAAATAAAAATAAAATAAATAAAGAATTTTTGGTTGACTTTATTATCTTCTTTTTGTTTCAAGATCTCGTGCTGACTGAATGGATTGCTACCATCAAAATTACACACACTCTTCTACTTGCCAGGCTATATGAAAGCCTACTTACACATGGCCATAATACAGCAACAAGGAACTGGGCCAACAGTTGTGCATTTAAAATATGCTGAGTGGAAACACTTAATAACCTCCCACCTAAGTAGGATGCAAAACCATATAACCCTGGAAACAATACTTCGCATGTGATCAGTTTGCTTTCTACCATAGCTCAATATTGTAAGAAGCACTGCACCTAGAGTTTAAGTTTTATAAGCTATCATCAAGAAATATTTACTTATCTCTCAGGTAAAAAACATTATCCCTAAACAGCTCAATCTAAGAAAGACAATAGTGTGAAACTCCTTTGTTAAGGGTTGTTTTATTCAATAAAACAGTCAATACCTTACTACCGAATGTATTTTTCCGAATTTCAAGAAAAAAATACATAATTCTATTTATCAATGGCATATAAATTCAATACGTTTTCGTTATCATGTTTCACTTATCTACCTACTCTCTACGTGAACTTTTCTATGAAGCAGTGAGAAATATAACCTACATTCTTGAATTCAAAAACACTAACAAACACTTTTTTCAGAAAGTGATGCGTAATTTTTTCTTCTGTCTTATTGATTCTTCAATTCAAAAGCTAAACAGGGAACTAAAATAAAGCTTTCCAAGAAGATACTTTTTAGCTGGAAAGCGAATTCCCCTTTTAGGCTATTTGGTTTAAAGAACTAGAAATTATAAGAAAAGGAACCTTATTCTAAGTTACAAATAGTCACCGTTTGAAGAACATAAATGAAGACAAAACATAGTAATAATCTATGCAAAAACATACAGCAGAAATAATAGTAAATCCTTAAGTATTTAATTCAAAAGGCATGAAATATTACATTAATTAGAACCTTTCATTCCTCTTGAAGTTCCGAATACTTGTAACAGATGTATCAACAAGTCCTCAGTAATGGTTTAACGATATATAAAGTTTCTGGTTCATATTTCATTTTGTACACTGTAATGTTTGCGATCAAATGTTATCCCAGCCTTCGAAAATGTGAACTTTACAATCTAGTATGTTTTATTTTGGAAGAATTTGAGACTATAGCAATCAAAGGCATATATAAAGCCTGATCATGAAAATAAGGAAATATAGGAATTCACAAAACAAGTTCAGCAAATGACTACTTCAAATGCAGATCTATAGAACAGTAAAAGAATATAAATAAAAATTATAGTTGAAACTTTGGCTTACAAATGGTTGACCAAATCTTAAGCAGATAGCAGCATTATGTTTGCAAATCACATCTACACTGGTTCCAATAAATTTATAATTTCTAGCCAATGCAATAATTAAATCCGGTAGCAGGGCATTACTAAAACCAATCCGTTCAGGTTGAAAAATTGTCTAAATGAGTTTGAAAATAAATAAAACACTGTTTACAGAAAAAAAAAGGTAAGTTATACAGAATACGGCTGTTTAGATGAAACATGAAATAGAGAAAATGTGGAGACTGAAGAAATATATTTCAGTGAATTACTTTTCGGATTTCGAAGATGGTTCATAAAGACAGTTATCCTGTTATATTACTTTGTATTCACCAACTGTTGCTATGTATTATCATTCAGGAGTAACAGTCAATTGAGTGTTGTAGCTTTAAATTGTAAGTTTATGCAATTACTGACTGATGATGTATAGTTAACTCCAAACGATACTAGAAGGTCAAAATATAGACTAATATAACATGATTTTGTTAATACAAGTATGAAATCTTGAAAAATAACTTTCAGACTCCAAGCTTGGTTATCAGTTGATTTCTCAAAGAGAGAAAATGAGGTGAGATAACAGGTCAATTGCAGGATTGATTGATTACAAGTGAACCACCTAGACGAGTGAGCTACAGTTTCACATTATGTACAAAGTACCACCGTATGTATAGATCAACAGGTGGCCTAGATAAGTAGGTCATCATTCCAAAAGGTCCAGAACTATTGATTTTGCCGATTTGTCCAGTCCAGTATTCAATAAATAAACCTGGTTGGTATGGAATGTATTTCACGAAACTGGACTTCTTTTTTGATCTACAAAGAAGATATTACGCATCTTAATAGATCCTCATTTCATGACTAATGCAAGACCCGTACTAAATAGATACCAAAAGGTCGAACTACTGACCAAATGAATTTATTTATATTGTAACTGAAAAATGAAGACCATGAAGGCAATAAGAAGATCCCTTATACATAGAACAGTCAGATCTTCGGATAGCAAGTGTACTATGAAGGTTAGTAGATAGTCAACCAAGTTTTACCAAAAGATGTAAGACTACAGTTTTAGCAACTCTAATAATAATCTAGGTGGTTGGCTTACTTGATTATTTAATCATTGTGAGCTATAGCCCGGTAAATCATACATATTATAAAAGCGTGGGTTACATATCATTGGAAGTATCAGATTTAGTCATATGATCAGACAAAAAGTTGCTAGAGTTTAATTTTGTCTTCTAATTATTGCATCAACGAACGACCAAAATCAACTCTATTAATTGCAGTAAGCGTCAGTTGATTGCATAGGTCAAGGCTTGTCATAAAAACCCTTATGACCTATCGACATAACCAAGTCAGATGTGAGGACAGATAATTGATTATGATATAGAATGATGATCACGTTACAGAGAGTCAGAAGAGACTGGAAAAATGTGTCACAGTAACCGAACGATACTAAATTTGTCGAAGACCTGGTGATGATGGGCTCATTCCGTCACAAGGTTGTGATGGTGCACTGGTGAGGTGACACAAACTAGGACGAACCAGCTGTCTACTGTCTTCATGTATTCAATATTATTTTAGCTGATTTCAATCTGTGATGAGAACCAACTTGCAATCGATCAACTCTCTACAAATTAATCTTTCAGAAAGGAATAATATCAGTGATTAAAAAAGTGAATACAATTAAGCAAATAAACAATTCAATATACCTCTAAACAAGGTTCATAGTGAAACATTAAGCTGTGTCTTTGTGAAACAAATAATTTTGCCGACTTCAATGAGCCCATTTGAGGTAGATCATTCGTGACAGTAGGTAGTGTTTTGGCTGCGGTCGTTGTTATTACACAGTCATTGACAGGCGAAGTAGCATAAGTAGTAGACACAGCAACAGGAGAGATTGTAGTAATATTGGTCACGTTACTTGTATTATTGATAGTATTATTATTACTGGTGAGTGTAGTAACATTTGGCTCTGAATTTACTGTCATAGCAGCAACTGTATGAGTCACTGATGTTATTGTTACTTCTACCACTTCCTCAGCATCAATAGAAGCAACTGGGACTATCGGAATTTCAGAATCTGTACTAGTCAAAGGACCATTACTAGTAGCATTATAATTGACAGATGAAGATGTAGAATTTGAAGAGGCATAATAACCCGGCGGAAATCCATTCCCATTAAGATGATGAACAGGAAGTGTCTTCATCATTTGATCGTGATTTTTCATACTGTTATAGACTTATACAAAAACAAAGAGAAAACATAACGAATAATTACTACAGAAAAAGATTTTTTTTTTAAATCCTTAAAAAACCTCCTCTGACAGTACTAAACTAATTATTACAAACATCGAAGGAATCTGAGACTTTTCAACTATAAATTACTATACAAATAGTACATCAAGACATACTACTTATTATCAACTTTACCAACTCCTGCAAAATTTCCGAGAAACACAAAGTCATTCAAACAAAAAAGTAATTCGTTTACCGGAGGTAAGGTTTCACTGTTCATCTAATTTTCGGTTTAAAGGTAGAAGAGACTAGTAAGCATAGCTCAGTTTGGCTGAGTAACAAATAAAGAATGAATACTTTAATATCCACTGGTCTTCCTTTCTCAAGAAAGTCTTTAATCCCATAAACTTATAGTTATCTTGTAAGTCATTAATAATTAGTGAAATTATTCATCACTTTAGAAATAAGTGGAAATTCAGTTTTTTAATTTCAAATTTACCAAAATAAAATTCAGAGAAATAGTCTACTGATGATTAAATGAACATTTAAGTAGTAGTTATCAGTGGTACAGAAGAAAATTTGACGAGTAGGTATAACTTGAGGTGATTAACTATCCAATCAACTAATCACCACTAAGCGTTAACCACTTAGGTAATATATTTATTATTGTTGGTAGGAATGGCTCCGAGTTTACTAAGAATTGAGGCAATAACGAGGAGGTTTGTAAAAGAAGAGAAAAGGAATGCCCCCTGATAAAAACGTAGTGGATGATATTTATGTAAACCAAATGTATGAGAAAACTACTCATATTTAGTTAATTTAGAAAAAAACAATCTTACTAAGTAGAAATGTCGATAGAGAACACTATTTGAATGAGTACAAATAGTTTGTAGTACAGAATCAATGAGGAACTTTCAAGTCAGTAGACGTCAGCGGATATCAGTCTTAGAGACAAATTACAAATTTAATAGATGACGCCAACTAATTCTTTTACACATCAAAAGTATGTTCCCACATACAGATGACTCACTTCATACATAGGCTAAATTAGGTAAGTACTGTTGAGGAATCCCTAACTAGGATGAAACAATCATTCAGTGCTCTCAGATTTTTAATGGTTTTCTAGTTGATGTCAATCCGTGACGAAAACCATTTCCAAATATAGATAAAATGGAGTTAAGCAAGTACATATGATGTACAAATGTAGGCCAGTGTATGTTGTATTTCAAACGAAATGGTGGAGAATATTTGTAGCTCAGGTGGGTGGTTTTGGTCGTATTGCGTTCTCTGAGCTGGATTGTTTAATAGTACAACTTTCATCGTCTTTCTAGATGACATCATCAGCACTAACTTCAATATGAAGTAAGCTGTTAATATCTCTCCGTGAGTGATCTGGTAGCTTGCCCTGACAAGCTGGTTTGTGACTGGTTGTTTCCTTTGATTGTTGTGCCATTGACTGTATAGATTTTCCTGTTAGCTGTTCCTCTGCTTGACCTCTAACCTTTCTGTCGTTTATCATTTTTCTTATTGGTTAATAGATTAGGTCTATGTACATACTGATTGCTGACTGACCTGAATGCCAAGCTTGTAGGAATTCTCTTCGTGTTTCCTCTGTCAAAAATTTCAACATTGTCAAAATTGAATTCATGTCCATAATTATCTACATCCAAGTATAACGATATACTATTCATGTGCCGTTTACTGGCTTCGAAACCCAAATACCGACCGGTGACTTATTAGTTTCACCTAACTCCGCCTATTGCGATTTGAGCAGCTAGGTATGTCCATTGTCTTTTACATAATCGATGTAAATCGTAGTCTCACGCATTAACTTACATTTAATGAAATAATTGGCAACAACGGTTTCTGATTTTTTGAAAGTGTCGAAAACAAAAGTGATCAGAAGTGTGGTTATGTAAGTTCGAACTAATGACATTTTCGTCTCCTTACTCACCCAAATCACCTAACTCTTCAACTAAAATTAGTTAACCCCCTCTCTGCCTTAACGTCCTCATTTATTGAGCTGACACTTCGGATGAAACCTTTTACGCTCTTAACTGGTGTAACAAACTTTTGTGTGAGACCAAAGACGGTACAATTTTCATTCAGCCTCAATAAAAAACAAGTAGTAGTTAGTGTTACCGAAAAAACACACCACATTAAAACGACTACATTTTTCATCAACTACCTATCCAGTCAAAATAAAGAAACCTACATGGTTATTTCAGAAGTACAGAGTTACTTTGAAAGTCACTCTGGCAACCACTATAATAAACAATCAGGTCTTTTTATTTCGACCATAAAGGTGGTTTTTCAATAAAATCAGTGGCTGCTGGAGTGGCCTTGAGAGTCACTCCTAATATATGGTCTTGTGTTCAATTCAATCAGTGACTCATAAGTGTAAGAAAGTATAGGGAAATGTGTCAGCATTCATAAAGAGAGGGCATAGATATTCTAAATGGTGTTACAATGTTAGGGTTACGTCTTGTTTTTATCCTTTTCAACTACATGAACTAATTGTAGTTTATCGCAGATATAAAAGTAGTTACCATGACTTCTGACATCATAATAAATGCTACTTCTACAATCGTCCACAGAAATTCGAGATCAACTGATAAAAAATGTGAAAACCAATTTCTCAGTACTTATGAACAATTCATTGAGTCAATTAACCGAAGTGAATCGGCTCTACAACACACTCTAATCTTGCCTTACATGACTGAAAGCAACCTGCAAGATACTTCGCACCTAAATCTCGTCTGCTTAAATTTGTCAGTGGGAAGTTAATGCAATTTTCCAGAAACTAATATTTTCTCTTCCACTTAAAAATTATATACATGGGCAAAAGAAGCCAAAGTGATAAACTGCTTTAAAGATGAATCATATAAAATGATTCAGAATTGTTGTGCCTTTATATTCATGAAAATAATACGTTAACTTACTCGGAGGATATGTTACACTGCTTTTTTCAGTTATAGATAGCTTTTTACTGATCTCAACACGATCTTTACTTACAGCATGTAATAAATGCCCATAAGGACTTAGTGATAATGCTACAGGTGCAGCATTCTCTGCCGGTCTAACACCATCTCTTATACTATGCCGTATAAGTAAACCATCACGACCGATAGTATAGAAATTATTCGTCTCAGCAGGACACCAAGATATACCTAGAGAAAAGAAATGTATAAAAGAAATACTTTAATTCATAATTAGTAAAAGAATCAATTATAATTCAAGTTGTGAATTAGAAATTAATAATAATTTAAAGATGTTATTAGACCAAAGTCAACACCAATGAAGTAATAAACAATTGTTTCAAAAAAAAACCTACAATTTGTCAACAGTAGTGAATTAAGACACTTTTTGAGAATGTGTCTGAGACATATAAGCCCTGAACAAAATACACCAGTCTTTAAACTGTATCTTTATGCAAAGTTGAATCAACTTTATGTATTACAATGATATAAACATGAACACTTCTCAATGAATACAGGTGGAAATGTCATCCACTGAAAGTGAACAAGAAGATTCAACTATTAGAGTGTTTACTGTTGCGCCTAAGGGTCTAAATAGGAACTTCAAGATGAATGTATATTTAAGAATCTAATAATTCCTATTTAATGATTGTTAGTTTAGTGATACTGTTTGTTTTCTTATTATGGAAACTTATTTCAATGCAGGACTTATTCTATAAGTATGATTTTGGTAGGTTATTCAACCGCAGTGTAACTCGAAACTAACATTGGTGTATAAATATTACATAGCTGGTAACATTAGCTTAGATACAACCTATCAGTCAACTATGCTTTCTGACTGAAAAGACTTACGTTTAAAAATGCAGCATAAATATTTCCGTACATATTTAGAAACTTGGTTTGATAGATACTGTTAAACAACCTAGATAAAGACATTTTTTTAAGTTACCTTTAAAGAAAATCATCAACCAATGACAACGTAATCAATTAGGTATATTCAAAAAGTCAACTAAACGTCCGTTTTTCAATCTTCCACAACTGAGTAGAGTCGCAGATCAACAACCTATTTCATTTCACAAATAATATACCAAATAAAAAATAATATTGTCAGTGTAGTCAGTACCAGTGTAGTGGTGGTTAGCCAAAAAAAAATTAAATTGGTTAACAAAAGACCACTTTGGAGAAGTTACACTTGATTGTTCATTCCGAAAATTCATAGTGTCACTCAACATGTCCAAAAGAATTTGCATCTTGTTCGCATTTTCACTTAAAAGGGCTATATCGTCTATGTACTATTCTAGGTTAAATATGGAGTCTATTGCTATTAGACCAGTCTCTAAACCACCAGACAGTTAGGGGAAGCACTCCATAAGTACGTATATGAAAAAGTTAAGTAAAAACGGAGTAGAAGTCACTGACGGACACGACTCGGTATAGACAACTCACTTTATACCTGATTGCAGGTCCTAACATGATCACATGCGTTTAAATATTAAGCCCTCAGTCGGATGAAGCACTTTTCAAACACCCCCTTTGGGAAAAATATAACCGTAAGACCACTTGATTGTCAGAAACTCATTTGTCAATACATGGAGGATACCGTAGAGCATCGGGCCACAGCAATGAGTGCATATCACTTTATTTGCTCCTGTAGAGCCGAGTACATCAGCCGTACCACATACTAACTTGTAAAACGCCCCCGCGAATGCTACCCAACTTGACTGTCAAGGGGACAACAGAAATGCATAACCAGCTTTGTCACAGAACACTTAGTGAAATCATGAAACTTAGCTCCTTTAAAATTTTGCACAAAGTGCGAACAAGCCACTCGAAAGGAGTAAGTAAAAGACATCTGAGTATACCTGAGGCAATAGTAATCCGAAAGTCCAAACCATCACTGTGTGTTCAAGAGAAGTATGTAAAACCTCTATCGTTGCCATGGTCATTATAGAAGATCGATCATTCTCGTCAGTTCTCTTATGGTGTAAAGACATTTATTTTGCAGTCATTTTGTTTGTCTCTATTCTAAACGCCTATAGATATTACACATTTTTTGTCATTTTGACCTTTGACCTTGAATTACTCATGAATGTTCTTTTTCGCTGCAATAGTCTTCCTGCTTTTCCGATGATCAAATGGGTTTGTTTCCATATTTGGATAAAAGGAAAAGCGTGAACCATTATATTTCAAACTATTAGCTGAACGACAGTGTATTCGTTATGACAGCTGACGGTGCTAGAACAGATAGCTGGTGTAGCGAAAAGTGTGTAATGCTAAAGAGTCCCGAAATAGGATGAAACAGCTATCCTGTGCTTCCAGTTTTTCAATAGTTCTCTCAATGAAGTCGATACGGGATGAAAAGTGCTTTAAAATAAATCGATCCCTTCAAAAGGAAGTGGTCAAAACGCATTACGTGATTAACTGAACCAAATCTATGATTTTCTGTGTGTCAGTACAGCGTCACTAACCGCCGAGATAATAACTGTTTGCTATTGCCTATCACCGCCATTTTTCCATCTCTCAGGCCTTTTGTGCCCATTACTGCTCATGGTCACACAGTAGAATTTCTATCAGTTTAAATCTGTTTCCACTTGTCATTGTGTTGGCGACCTGTAGGAGTGCGTTTGTAAGCATACATTGATTCAGATTAATCTCCTAAGATCCACTGACCTCCTCCTGTCTTTTTCGAATAAACAGTCACGGTATATACCGTTTTTACAAAATACTGGAGATGGTACTAGGTTTCTTCAGGATAAACAACACTGACATGTTCGTATACGTGTCTCGCCAGTTCCTCTTTAAAAGCAGCCTCATTATCGAGCTTATCTCGCAACAGTCTTCCAGTTGCATATTTCCTTCATACATTAATTCACAGACACGTTTTTGATTAAGACAACGTGATCATTCTCCAAACATGTGCTTAAGAGGGGGCAGCGATCATCAACCGACCCAATCTAACAGTAACTGATATTAACAGAGTACATTTGTGTTTACCTTCGAATTGATATCAGTGGTCACTACTTTACACTATGTTGCTCTTTATTTCTGAAATAGGAATAGATGGTTGTCTGAGTGAATTTGTAGAAGACGATCAACATTATCGGTTCACTCACCTTCGACTTCGAAAGTACTAACCCAAATGCCTTTCTGATTAAATTATCATTCCAAATTGTTAATTGAAGACACCAGCTACAACAGCTATATTTGGTTGTTTCATTCTTAACAGAAGACTGGACAGTTTTCAATAAAATTCATTTCTCATTTTATTTGAACTGCAGTTAGTGTGTGAACAGAAATCATCAAAATGTAACTGTATATGTCACTATCCTTAATAATAATTGCTGAACCATTTAGAGGCACAATATACATATGACAAGTCAATTATTTTTCATTTGATCTACTGAGCGAAGGGGAATTTTATCCTTGAGAAGATTCATCACTTATACACAATAATGAATCAGAACGCACAAAACTTCAGCAACCATCTGACAGTGGACCTGCCGCTCATTAGTTTAGGTAGATGACTTTCAGCCAATGTGTCACGGGTCACAGCCCCACTCCACCTACCAAAGTTTGGGCAGTCACGTAGTATCATTAACTCTCACGATAGGTGTGGCTCATGGACTACTGCACAAATGTGAGCAAGGTTGATGAGTGCGTTCGAGTCCAGTCCAACCATGTGGCAGTACATTCTAGACCAATACAAATCTATAACCCTCTCAAGGTAGCTAAATGGCTCACCATAGTTACGTTCCAGGACATCAACATGAGAAAGCTCTACAGAGTGCAGTTACGTGGTATGATTGAGTTGATGACCAGGAAAGCCAGAGATGACATGTGCATTGGTGAATAGTGGTTAAGTCTGGTTATGCAACGGTGGTGAGCCTCCTCGCTGCCTCATCGGATTTCGACCAATACACCGTCATAGTTGACTTAGCGGTAAACGCGGTCGACGAGATTCATATGCGATGATCAGTGGTGTGCATCTCCAAAGCATGGACGGGTCAGCTGATCATCAGGATTCTACCCAGTGAACTGGGAGGAGTGCACCAATAAAAAGTAATAGAAGCTAGCTTCCTAATTCCGGTAGTCAGTGAGTGGTGTTGAAGAAGTCCTAAGAGGTGGTGTGGTTTGCCTTGAGAAGGTTGGGCGGTATTCGGTCCGAAATGCCGGGTATCGTTTGCTGTAGCCATAGCCTATTTTGCAGAAAACCTGAGACGAGCCACGGTTCCTTCTAGGGAGGTGTGCTGCATCACTTTTTGCAAGATTGTGGATAAACGGCGAGAGTTAACCCATCTACATCCCCACGGGGAGGTGAGTACGGTCAACAAGCAGAAACCCGGTGAACGTGGATAGTTGAAGCCCAACAGTTGGGAGGGGGGAATTCACTGATCAGTTTTAAGGGACCATTAAAAAAGTCCCCTGGCAAAAGTGTTCTTTTACATGGGATCGCATTACCAAATGATGTTTCCTGCTCGGTGATGGGACTAGTTCCCCGGATTAAGAGATGATAAAGTGTAAACAGACAATGTCCGGCAAGAAACTGGGAACTGAGCAGAAAATTGAAGCGAAATTCGGAAAAGTTACTAATTCATAACGATTAAAAAAGCCTGTTTATTTATGTAAACTGGGCTTATTATAGTGTTTAAAGTTGGGTGCAGTATTACCCAACAAAAATCAAACACACGTACATCAAGGATATAAAGCATCGTATACACATCACAATAACATGAATACATCTAGTCACATGTTAACTATCTGAACATTTAAGCATTTGGATGGATTAGAACAGAATGATTTATGATTTTGAAAACTAAACCCGAAAGAGCTAAAAATCCATAATTCATTGGTTACTCTGCTTTTGGAGGAACGTTGTGCTTTGAGGACTAAACTTCAGAAATTCTGCTTTCAACTTGAAGACAAAGTTAAGAGCAGATTATCCACTCCTTTTTGTAATTATTATCAACTTGTAGTGAAAATGACGGGATAGTACAGAAAGCAACAACCTTAAAATTATACCCATCGCACAAGAAGTGGCTATCGTGTTTCGGTGGTTTGGTGGATAATGCTCTAGCGCTTGAAGCTATCGGTCCCGAGTTCGAATCCCAGTGGGAACAACATCACTCACTGGGAGGTATGTCCAGCCGACGAGTCCCAAATAGGACGAAACGAGCGTCGTGGACTCCACTGCTAACCACTATCCATCATAAACTACAATTATAAATTTGACGATAATTTTAATGGGACATCAGTTAGCAAACAATTTACTTTAAATAAAATATAAAATAAAATTATTGAAAGTCAAATCAGCACTTACATGTAACGAGATCTTTATGCTCTTCAAATGATGCATATGGTATGAAAGGTCGTTGTAAATCCCATACATGAACACTTAAATCGATTGTGAGATTACAGCTGGAGACAAGTTGTGTCATCTGAGAGACAATGAAATTTTGAAAGAAAATATGAATATTTGGATTACATCTATTGAAATAATTTTCTAAATGTTATTCATTTAAAAATTAGAAGTAGAATTTAGTAATGAAGTGTTGCACACGAAATGTCTAAGGTGTTCTAACATCACCTATATGTCTTATGCTTTAATGAAAGAGCCAATCAAAACGACGAAGCACCACAATAACCTGAAGTCGAATAGCAATGAATGGAGACAGACCTTTGAAGGAAGAATCTATATAAGAGGAGGCAAAGACTAACTATAAAGCAAAATGATGCATCTTGGAACGATGAACTCATCAGAAATAAGCAGCCAACTTCACTAGTAACACTACCCAGTGGTGGGGTGCTGAGAACTTATGATTTTATACGAAAAAACACTCGTAATATCGTTTTACTAGCCAGCTTACAATTATTCTAGTACTGAGATGTTTTACAGGTAAACACACCTCTCCTAGCAAACAAACGACAACTATATGAATTATAAAAAACCTTTTGGAAGACAGAGAAAAGGACAATAAAGAAAACTGTAAGGAGGAAAGATAAACGATATTATTATTACTATTATTTGTCCCTTGGGCTCCTAATGGAACATAAGGCTTCAGTAGCACGTCTTCAGTGAACTCTGTTCTCTGAAATCTTTTGAACCTGACTCCACGACAGCCCACAAGCTCTCATTTCCTCCTCGCATCATCTCCTTCATGTCACCCTCACATCGGACGCCCAACTCGTCGCTTCCCATCGGGGTTCCACTCAAGTGCCCGGCCTGACGCGTGATGTCCCCAGTCGGCCTTCTCAGTGTATGCCCAATCCATCTCCACTTCCTTCTGCATATTTGCTGAGCGATAGGTTTTTGGTTGGTTCGTTCCCAGAGTTCCTTGTTGCTTATTGTTTCTGGCCATCTGATCTTCAGTAAAGAGCGTAGGCAGTTGTTGATGAATGTCTGTAGTTTGCATAATATTATCTTCACATGTCGCCTTTTTATTTTCGCACATGAATGTTTATAATGTGGTGTAAGTGAACACAAACACTGTGAAGAACTAAACACAAGGGACCATCATATGATGGAACTAAAGCTGTCTTAAAATACTTCGAAATGATTAAAATAAGGCATAGGTTTCAGATCGATTTGCAACACTCATTAATGAGAGTGGGACTGAAAAGAATACCATGAAAGTTGAACGAATTAAACTAATGTGAGAGATGTTACACGGTGGTAAATCATTCCTTGTATTTTTGTATGATTGGCATATGTCATACAATTCGAAGCTTCTGGCGATTTCAACCGGAACACTACAAATCACTAAAATGAGTGATGAAATATCGTGTGGCTAAGGAAACCATCAGAATAGATTATAACACTACGAGTTTGTAATCTGCGTTTTGGTGTTTACTCAGTGCTTTTTTCCAACCTTTCACAGGATGCGTGTTTCATCCTACTTAGGACTAACCCGTCGGCTGGATGTACCTGTGTACCCCAGTGCGGAGTGATTTTGTTCCTACTGAGATTCGAACCTCGTACTTATTGCTACAAATGTCAAAGCGTTATCCACTAGGCCACTGAAGCACGATAGCTACCTCTTGTACAACGGGTATTAGTTATTACTATTTGTTGATATGCTTGTAATCGAATTGTTCGACTTCTACATGCCACATTGGAGAATTACAAGCATATCAACAAATAGTAGTAACTTTCATAAAAGCATTTAACTATATAGCTAACTGATCGAATAATGCTGACTTATAAACTTGTCGAATCACTTTGTGATCTATATTTTCAATAGATAAGAGTAAAGGAGATGTTAAACAAATTAACTTCAAATTTCTTAATTACTTATTTCTTCTTAAGACGATCAACAACGTTAGATCCTTTGGCATTACATTTGATACTTCACTAATTTATCGGCTTTTGCTCATACACTTCAAAAAAGTACAATTCAAATATGATGATAATAATTAAGAATAATTAACGCCCTGCTTTCGCCGATGACTTGTGCCTAATGTCACATAAACTTGAAGATCTACAGGCAAAAACTAACAAGTTGGTAGAAGAGGTGAGGCGGCGAAGACGGTAATTCAAGTGAATATAGGGAAGACAGAGGTGATGAAGATACCCAACCAACAACACCACCAGCAACAACAACAACAAACTCCAATCACCATAAACGGGAGAAACTCAAAGGAAGTAACCTCCTTCACCTATCTAGGAAGCACTGTTTCAACTACAGGTGGCGGCACAGACGAGGATGTCAAAGTCAGCCAGGATCGGAAAAGCAAGAGAGGAGTTCATTAGCCTGAAACCAGTGTGGAGATCTTCTGCACTCAGCATGATGCGTAAACAAGATACGGATTTTCAACACTTATGCCAGTCAAGTCAGTGCTCTTGTATGGCTCAGAGACTTGGCGCGTTACGAAAGGGATTTCCAATAAACTACAGACATTCATCAACAACTGCTTACGCTCGCTACTGAAGATCAGATAGCCAGAAACAATAAGCAACAAGGAGCTCTGGGAACGAACCAACCAAGAACCTATCACTCAACAAATATGCAGGAAGAAGTGGAGGTGGATTGGCCATGCACTGAGAAGGCCGACTGAGGACATCACGCGTCAGGCCAGTTGCTCGAGTGGAATCCCCATGGGAAGCGACGAGTTGGGCGTCCTAGGTGAGGGTGACATGGAGGAGATCGTGTGAGGAGGAAACGAGAGCTTCTGGGCTGTCGTGGGACGAGGTTCAAAAGATCTCAGAGAACAGAGGTCACTGGAGACGTGCTACTGAAGCCCTATGTTCCACTAGGAACCCAAGGGACTAATAATAATAAAATAATAATAATGCCCTGCTTAAACTTTGGGCTACCGAAAATTTTTCACCGAATATATTGCATTAAATTCCTTCCTTTCTATTTTGTTTTAATTTTTTTTAATATGCCTTTTAAACACGTCATGTACTATTGCACACTTTTAAAAAGGATTTTAAACTGCTATTGCTCTAGCAAACAATAAAAGAAAGAAAAAACGATAGGTCGGTAAGAGATAGGGCTTATAAACACACACAGAAATACAGTACATTGCTATTCAGTGAATAACTATCAAATTGCAGATTTTGGTACAGCCTGAATAAACGTCCATCAAAATTACGCTTGAATTTCAATTCTCTCACCAGTCTAAACTAGATGCTAATGTAATACTGCGTACCTGTTTCACATTGTGACTTTTATTACGATTATTATCAACACTATTCAAATGCAATGACCATTTCACTTAAAGATATTGTACAGGAAATGAATTTGTTGAACTATCGCATATCTTACCATATATATTGTTTGGAATAACACTAAAAATATACCCGTCGTACAAGAAGTGGCTATCATGGCTCAGTGGTGTAGTGGATAACGCTCTGACGTTTGGAGCGATCGCTCTCGAGTCCGAATCCCGCTGGGAACAACATCACTTACTGGGAGGCAGGTACATCCAGCTGACAAGTCCCAAGTAGGACGAAATGCGCATCCTGGATCCCACCGCTAGCCACTATCCATCTTTACTATAAACCCATCAATATTATTATTAGTTATATTATTCCATTTGAAAAGATATGGAAGCCTACTTTCTCGATGAAAATGTCATTTGCAGTTTTAAACTAAACCGTTATAAGAGCAAGAAGATAAACCCACTAAAATACATTTTATGAGTGTGAATAAGGCGAGAAGGATGAAATCTGCATAATAGAATGATATTTTATTTTACGACTATTCCTTCAGCTGGATATTCGAATATAAGGTATATCAAAATTAGGCAATCAAAAGAGCACTGAGATGGAGTTTTCCTGCAGCTAAATTTGTATAAATATACAATATCGCATGCTCCCTGAACCAGTCAAAATCGGATAATTACCCTGCTTATGTTATCTCCAAGTGCATTTGTGAATTCAAATGCACTTGTGGTAACAAGTACATTGCAGGGACTAAGAGGAGAGCATCCATTCGATTCACTGATCATATCCCTATAACTCAGTGCTTGAAAGAAAGTAGAATTCTAAGCAGACACCTCGTACACATAGGGCATTACGTTGAAACATCGAGTACTTTTAAGATAATAAACATACAGAAAATTTATGGATTACTATGTTTCTCAGAAGTGACTGTAATAAAACGCTTTCATTTGACCTCCCTTGGTAAATATGATTTGATCTTATTTCATTTTCATTTTAATTACATAATTCTTTATTTATTTATTGTTATTATTTGCTCTTTCTTACATTTCCTACTTCTTTACAATTAATTCTACTCATGTTATACGGATTACTAGTGATTTTGTTATACAACTTAAGATTATTTATTTCTGGATTTTGAAATATGTCTTAATAAAGATTGCATTTTCAGACCGTATGCAGCTGAGGAGTATTCATGAAACAAAATCAAAATAAAACTTTATTCTGCAAAGTTCATCCTTTTTGCTTTTTCCAAATTTATCAAGGGGTCAAAAAGCATAATATTTTGTAAGTTAAATTACTGCAATACATATATAAACCAAGCAACATGTCTAATACTTTTGAACATTGTATTCATCCAACACACAACAAAAAGTTATCCAAAATGAATCCAAATATTAACTTACAAAAGTCGGTCTCCATCGTACTCGATTAACATTTGTAGTACGTACAGTGTATATAACATTGGGACAAGTGACTGAACCTTGTCCACTGGAACTACTCAGATTCCATACCTTGATTAAATGATCTCTAGCACCAGCTGTCGCCAACCAATTACATCTTTGTGTGAAATTATGAAGAGAGAAGAGAAACAAATAATGTAAGATATTTTCGAAATGAATGGGGATTTTTATTTTCAAGGTAGTATTCCTCACAGACTGACATCAGTTCGGGAACCATTGAAAACCTGGGGAGCACTGTACAGCTGTTTTGTCATAGTATGCGACTCCTCAGTAGTTTCCCGGTTTCACGTCGAACGCACTAACCATTCAGCCACTGGGTCGGAGTTCAATCATTAACAGTTTCCAACTTATCAATTCGCGATGTAGCATGATTATCACCCAAGGTCTTCAGATGGCATCCGCTTGCCTTCCAGATGGTTGACCCCACATTAGAATTTCGTGATATCTATCTGGAAGCATTTTACTAATGAGCACTATACAGTAGTGTATTCTTGAGATTAATGGATCCCCAAATGATGTCAGTCAATGATGAATAGTACCTAAAATTAATGTAAGAATTAAATGATACTAGAAATCTACATATGTTCAAACCATTTTTCAAAATATAATGGCTTATGAATGACTAATTAAATGAAATCCATCACAATGAAGATCTTATTCATGACAAAGTTGTATGAAAGAACTCAAACGATTCAACGCACGATGAATCTCTAGTTCACCGTCTACTATTTTCCATAATTAATCTGCTTCACTTAAGATGAGTTAACATTTGTAGAGTTTCTAAACCTAATTTCACTGTAAATTGACTACATAGAAATAAATAGCAGATTTAGCACGCTGCCCAAGAGAAATTAGGTTAGTAAAAACAGGTGAATTCGGTACTCACTGGTCAGTTGTAGCACTCACTGCGCATAAAGTTACAACTCCCAATTTGTATAAACACTCCTAGCTTTTTCAGTCACCTGAAAACAGCAGGCTATTTTCTAAACACTGTTTGGCAGCAACTAGTATAGCTTATTCTTAAACCTCTTCACAATGTGATGTTTCATTTTATGATCAACTAAGTAACTATTAAACGCTAAACAAGTCAGTCAAACTCCTTACTACCCAAAGAAATGCATTATATGAGTAGGTCAACCGAGTACATTACAAGAAAAAGTAGCAGCAATGAGAATAGCTGAAATGAAAAGATATACAGAGTTCTACTCACGAAGTCACATTCCAATTCGGATGCCAGTCCAGTGTGGTTATTGAGCAAGAATGACCTTGAAAAGCACGGAAAGGACGTGAACCTTTTCGAGTATCCCATATGCTAATAACACCATTTTCCTGAACAGCTGCAACTAAGAATCCTTGTTTTGGACAAAATGAAACATCTCGCACAGGAGACGGTGATGCATTTCGTTGAAAAAATATTCGACATGAAGAATTTGGATTTGGATCCCGAATGTCCTTCAAAAAATAAAACGACATAATATAGCTAGTTTTACAGGTTACTTCTGAGTTGGTTATTCTGTTCACTCTGAAAATAAATCTGCCGTCTTGCAATCAGAAACTAAATATCAGTTTAAAGGAGGAAAACGTTGGCACTATGGTACGAAATAATTTCATACTAGCTTCCTTATTTCATCACATAACATACTGATACAGTATTGTACATTGGATAACGTTACGGATATAACTTACTACACCTTAGAAACACTTAAGAGATTTTAATATCAAGCTATGAACCACAACAAATGTGTAGCGGCCTATGATACTACCATGTCGTTCAGACCAAGAAAGATAGGTGGAGTCGGTTTGAACTGGTGACTTAATGGTTAGTAGTTAGCTCTCTAAACCACTGAATCATAACTCCATGCAGATATAATACGCTCTAAAAATCAACGGATGATCAGAGAAATAATGGGGATCATAAGGGGTTGAATAACTAGTTCAACTTAATACGGTATATCCTTACAAAAATCCCAAATGAATATATGTGTTAAGAGCAAGGTAGACTTAAGTAACCTTGACTCATAAACTCTTTTATTACAGAAATAAAGTGACTGAGTTTGAAGAGGAACCTACGCTGTGATTATATTACAAACAAATTACAAGCTTAGTACTACATGAGCTGAGCGCTAAGATTTGAGTGTTAGTTTCGTTTGGACACCATCGGCTTTTTTAGGCTATATAGAAGTGTAACAGAACAGGTTACGTTCTAATCTATTGAAATCGACCTACTAATTTCCATGCATGCTGTGTCAAGCCCTTCCCCGCTATTAGAAAACTAAACAGACTTCATACTGAAAACTGGACAATCGAAAATATCCCGTCGGAAGAAACCCTGAACAGTGTACGCCAAATCGCTCCCACTTACCAGAAATAACATTCAAAATTTAGACCATACGAAGTTGGCAATATTTTCAAGATATTCATTTGCGAACCTTGCAGTAAACGACTAGTTAATATTGTGGCTTTTCATTCAAATAAGGAGCCTTATTACTTTCATTTATGTTATAGTCAGAAAAAACATCCACTAAAGTAGAACCAAACGAGTTACATCTTAATTGGTCTGCTAACAGAGAGCGTTCATCAATTCTGTCCTAGTGGCAACGTAATCACTCACTGGGATAGAAAAACATCCACCTGACGAGTATAAAACAGAACGAAATGTCAACCCTAGACTGCAATGCTAGCCACTAACAAATAAATTATGTCCCAACGAAGTGGAATACACATTACTGAGCACCGCTCTTCTACTACGTTAATAATCAGTTGGAAAAAGTAGTAGCTAGTTTTTGTTAAATATTCAGTAATAAAAATCTCAATTTTAATTTGATACAAGTGATAACATAAACTATAGTGCAGTCACTACAATTCTCAACAGATTAAGAAACATCAATTAACTGATCAATCTATTTTGATTACGACACACGGAACCTATCACCTTAATAAATGATTTATGAAGAAGTACCATATCTTTTATCTTTTCACATTCAATAATCTATCTCACGAAGCTTCGATACAATATGAGATATGGGGACAACCTTTATGCAGTATCTTCTCGACAAATCGATGATTAAAAGCCTTGTAAACCTGCCGACTCAACAGTTTGACACTGACATAAATATATTTTCATTTAGGAAGGATTTTTCACTTGTCTGATTTAACGATTTGTTTCGCTAATATCCAACGCTGCTTTTCTTATATTTGGACGTAACACAACAGAAATCACAGTATGAAATTAATCAACTCTGATACCTTGGCTACTGAATCATCTACAACTCATAACAATTAGTTTACTTGGAATTGTTCGTCACATTTTTGTATAACTAATTCGTTGTTATAAATGCAATAAATCAGGATTAATCCACTTTACTGTAATAGCATTCTGACAGTGGCTAACATACGAATCCAAGGTGAGAAATTTGGCGCATATGAAACTATTCAGTTGGATTTACACATATACACACCAGCAACTACTGATATTCCAATTTAAACCAGAATCTAAAACCCATTAAATTCAACAAGAACACAATGAGATGTACTACCAAGTTTCTGTCAAATATACTGAAAAAACTATGAACTTACAAATAACTTTAGTTTACCGTCTTGTGACGCTGTTACAAGTTCTGTGCTAATGGTTGGATTGAAATGAATACAATGTATTGATCGGTTATGTCCAGAAAAGCAGGCAGCTTTAACCAAAATGAAGAGACACCGTTAAGTGCTATATATATATATATGCGGTTAAAAAACATGTGTGCAGGAATTTCTGTACTAGACTCCCAATCATGCATTCAGGGGAAGGATGAATGCTCCTACCAACTTCGCCAGTAGGGATAAGCAAAGCAAATCTGATTGATGGCTTAGTGATTAGAAGATGAGCATATATAATGTCAAGATGTAAATCAGAGAGCATCCAGAACTAGGAATATTGGCACTAGCACAACTCGGCAACCCACAGCAGGTTTATCTGCTGAGATACACTTGCTGTATGTGTTTATAATACTATGCAATTATCCAGGTAAGGTTTGAACAGGACGCATTTTTCGAAAATTAACTGACCAAGCCAATTAATCATACTTTTACACTAGCAGCTAGGAAACTGTATAAAGACAAGTTGGATACGCATATGAAAGCAGGACGTTAAGTAAAGTTGACATCGGAAAATAATTAATACCAGTGGTGGAAATGATACTAAAAAGGCAGGACTATCCTGCTTAGTTTGTATGAATACGAAGGGGCAATGAACTATATATCAATTATTACTGAGATTGAAATCGGTCTTGTTATATCTGGAATGTGACCATCAAGTTGAACAAACCACAGTTACATAATTCACTTCAACTTCACATATTACTCCATAACAGAAAAGGTAATATTAACGACAAATAAGGTCGTAGCTTACTTTCCAGACATTTGAATACAGGACAGTTAAAACTAACAACTAATATTCGCATGGCAGATCCAAACTACATCAAACCTAATTTATTCTAGGACACTGAGTATTATCATTAGTCTTCAGGAGATCAAAAGTAGCATTAATCGAACAGAAACTTATAAACAAAGATAAAACTTTAAGTAGAGTAAACACATCAGTCAAAAATCTGAACAGGTAACAACAGTTCTAGTAATAGACTACGGATACGAAATAAGAAATCCATATTCTTGTTCATTTGACAAGTTTTCCAAATGGATTGCTGATAGATTTTATAGCTTTTCACAAACATTTGTGAAGTTAGCATGGCCAATGTGACTCATACATCCAAGCTCTCCGTTAAGAAAGCAAGTGATAAGAGAATGAATGAGTAGACTTTATCTACCTTATTCTGTGTCCATCTTCTTGAAATAGCTGATGGTACCAAAGTTATCTGAAATAAGGGTCAAACTCATCGGTTAAATGCCGCTGGAGTCACACACTACAGTAAAAGTGACGAAAATAAACCTATTCATGTGTTCGAAACAATGTTTTGGGTACAATGTGTTTGGCTTATGAATAACATCAAATTTTTCTATCAAATTCGAAGTCAATGTCGTTTTTACAATCAGAAGACCATCAGAAATTCCCTCAATGTCACTTAAAACTACCACTGGAAACCAGAGTTATGGTAGTTTTCATCAAAGCCGACATCAATATAAAGAACCAATAAAAACCGCAGTTATACAATAAGTCCTAGTTTGAAACTCTTCAGTACCCACGAATTCACATCACCCTGTTTTGAGGTAGTACGGCCAGTAGTCAAAACTCTCAAAATGACTTTAAATTAGAGTCTGTGTGGTAATACTAGCGTACGCAAAAGTGTAAGTGGACTTGTTGTTTTTCTTTGACAACCAATAAAAATAAGAATGTGTAAACAGCAATACACTGGTTTCAGCTGCTATATTATAACAAACATATTTAGACAAAAGTAATCAAGAAATATTTGAATGAATAAGAAAACAAATAAATATAACATAATTTGTCATTAAATCAATCGATTAAAATAGTGTGAACATCCTCTTTCAAAATACTTTGCGATAAGACACCTAGGTTTCGGTGTCACCCTGGTTAGTTTCCACTGACATTTCTTAACCTTGTTACACTGAAATGTTTAACGCACGAAGCTTTCGACCACTGATCTAATTTGTTTTGGAAACAGTTAGCTTCATTGTTAGGTCATGAAAGTTTGTGTAAATCTGTGCTTTGAAAATGATAGGTATCGTGGTTTAATACTGGTGTCAAAGGCATAAATACACCCATTATTTATCTTCCACTGAATTCAGAATACCTGTTAGTGTCAAATAATGACCCCGATTGATAGCTGCTACTTTGACGTGGTGATCAGGCTTGTACATCGCAATGACTCAACGAGACACACCGGTAGAACGCTTTCTCCCTCGAAGTCCTAGCATGCCGTAGAGGTCTGTTGGATATTTGTAAGACAAAAATCATTACCATATTATGGTGGTGTTCGAGGGTGAAGTCGTGCTGTTAGCTGGATGGGGTGGAACAAGGAGTTTCGCGCTGATGCTGCCGTCCCAGGTGGAAGGAGATGTTAGAAAACGTCGGCTCCCAAAGTACCATACTCCCCCTGCCCTACGATCTTCAGCTGCCGGCAGTATGAGGTTTCTTTATCCATCGTCAGAACAATCAAATCTCACACCAACAACCCTCAAAAGACTGTGTGTGACAGTTCTAAAGAAGATATCCCATGGGCTCTGTGGTCTCGTATATTTTCCGCTATCAGCTACCTTACGAAGAAATAACTTTCCACGGTCCAGGCAGCCAGGAAGTATCGACAACCCGTCTGCTTCCAGTAGTATTCAAGACCCAGTCAAAACCTATCCTCCTAAACTCTGTCCCCTCCCTTGGTTTCACCTCCTGAGACTCATATAAAGCCACCTACAACTTCATCAACCTCTCCCTCTACGACCTCTGTCAAAGATAAGAGCCAACGAAGCCTCATTCCTAGTTGCCTGAGACCCGTCATCGATTTCATATTAGGGCTTTCAACGTCCGAACTCTACGTCAAATCGGACAGCAGGCATCAGTCGAAAGGACTTCGGAACCTCTAGGCATGGATGTATACTGTGTTTGGGAGACATTTATACAGGACCCGAGCGTAGTTATTAAACTGACCTCACCTGCTCATTGTAATGAATCTTTAAAACTTACCTTTTAGATATCCGGAATCCCAGTGGCTAGCTGTTGTGGACTGGCTGGTGTAGACACAACATTGAGTTGTAGGGCAGAAGGTGCACTTCTCGACTGAATACCGGTGAACATCCGTCTATGTGCTATTCGACTGAATGGATCTGTAAGAACTAGAAAGGATCGCGAGACCAACCGATGACTAATCGTAATCTCCACCTACGCGCCCATCAACTGCAGTTCGGGTGATGTGAACGATGAATTCTATGAGGAGCTGTCGACTTTCCTACAGAAAGTAGGAACTTAAGATATAGTCGTAAAGGTAGATGACTTCAGCGCTCAACTGGGGAAGCTGAGACAAACAGAAAGGCACCTGGAAGGTATCTACAGAATCTCATGCCAACGAACTTATAACAGTGATCGTCTTCAGCAGTTTTGTACCAACAATCACTTGTTTTTGGCTAGCCTTAACTTTAAGCATAAGGAGAGACGGTCTCAAATGGAATCTATCGATATCAAACCAACGACTGATCCAAAAAGATCATATTGCTATTAGCCATCGTTGAAGAGGATCGGTTGAAAATTGTCACCCTTACTGAAGTCCCTGTTCGGTCTCTTATCATGCATTAGAACAGGGACGCATATGTCTGCGCCTTACTGATCGTGGAAAACAGGTGACAGTGAAGGCTGTCTATGCCTGATTGAAAAATGAGAACGTAAAGGGTGCATTTAGTGAGGAAATAGGTAAGCATATGTCTGAACTTGACAGCAATCTATATCCTGAGGAAACCTGGTGTGCTATTAAGTCTGCTGTAGAAACGGCGTTAAAGGCAATTAGCAACCTATAGCTGAAGGTTAGCGAATTCCAATGTATTTCCGCAACGTCATCAGGACAGATTGATGCAAGGAGACTGATTCCAGTAGGCTCTGACCACGATGACAAGCGAAGGTAACTTAAACGTAAATTGGCCAACAGTCCGCAACGATCACGAGCAGTGGTGGATAGCGAAAGCAAGAGAGACAAAGAAGGCATCAGCGTTAGGCTACACCCCGTAATTATTTAGGCTTGTTAGGGATACCAGCAAGATGTTAATTAGTGAAATTATCATCGAAAAGGATGGAACCCAGGTAAACTCTCAGGATGGATGACTAGAACGGTGGGCGGAATGCTTTGAAGTATAGGTTCACTGGCCCACAGCAACACTTCAGTTGCCATGCATCCAACATGAACCTGAATGGGAGGTAGATGTCGGTCCTCCAGCTCTCGTCGAGGCTGCGAAGGTTATATCGAACCTAAAACGATGCAAGCAGCAGGACCTGACAGTTTATTACCGGAAGATTTTAAGGAAGGAAGTAAGAAATTGCTGATTAGATTGACGAAGGTACCACGTAGAGTACTTGAATAAGTTCACAATAGATGCATATATTTAGGTAAACATAACTTACTTTGAGTCATACCCCGACCGACATCCCATAACATAACATCTCCACTTGTAGATGCAGTTGCAAGGATATCTGAAACCAAAGGAACAGAAAAAGCTAAGTGACATACGAAGTGATGAAAATTTATCTGAAATAATGTTCTGAAAACTAGAAGACAGAAAAATAAGTCCAATTTTTTGGATGACACACAAGAAACCTTGTTTATCGGTTGCTCATCATGCTATCTCTCATCAGTATGGCAAATCCATAACCACAGTAAACTTATTGCAATCCCAAACATTATAACCCATGTTACTAGTCATAACAACTAAAGAATTTATAAGTTACACCATGCCTTTTGTTGATTTTTTAAAAGCGCTTATCTAAGCGCTAAAGATTCATTTAACCATCAAACTCTTAACTAGTAAACTGATTCAAACTGACTGAAGCTTTCAAAACTAATGCATATTTATATAGGGGACTGAGATTAGTATTAGAATGTTAGCATTAATCAAGAAGTAAAATTAACAAGATGCAGATAACTAGTGTTTAAAATCTTTAAATTATCACTGAAACTTTCTGATGTTCTAAGTATTTCAACTTATCTATTCAGAAAATGTTTCTAAGTGTGCTTCCAGATAACTTATTATGATAGAAAATACTATTTCAATGAACAATTTCTGCACATCTCAAGTAAGTGAATGTCAAGGTGAAACTTGTGAAAGAGTAGTTTATAGGTGTTCATGAAAAAAGACAAATATTGACTTTGTTATCAGATGATTTGGTAGAAAATTTAAAAATAATTTTCACGTGATCTTCATACGTGAAATATTTGACACAACTTTTTCTTCCAGTTTGTGGATTTCGATTAACCAAGATCACTAGCACTATGAAATTGAAATCAGACGCTACCAATAACTAATTCCCGTTAAAAAGACATAACCAACGTAAATCAACAGTCTGGTGCATAACGTTTTGATACTTTTAAATAACTGTACTAACTTCAAATTTTCGTGAGAAAATTAGCTCTGTAAAATACAGGTAAATTCAACCAACAAGCTTCAGATGGGAAAAAACACTTATCCTTTTAGTCATTGCTGACTACCACCGAAGTACTGCATGTGGTAAAGAACATGTTAGACCTCAGTATCAAAATTGTAACAGTCAACAGCGTTTTGCTTTTTAAGATTCTGATGAACAAATCGCAGAGTTATTTAGTCCGACAACAATTACTACATTGAGACAAAACTGCTCATACTATTCAACAACTAATCATTAGAATAAACAATTGTTTCTTGAGACACACTTTCTCCTTCGAGGGAATTAATATGCATCTGAACTTTCCCATATGGTTGTTATTCGAATGGTTACCTCCGAAACGGAAGACTGCAACACCATACAGCTCAGTAACTGTGCGGAAGACACGAGATGTGAATCACATCTATTGTTTGAAGGCTACTGATATATTAGGCTATGCAGATCGCAAAAGGTGGGGTAAAGTTCAAACTTGTCACTTTACTTGATGAAAAGATAGTACCCAAGCAAATGAATTACAGCCCTACCAAGAATAAACTCAGGGAAACAACAAAAATTGAAGATAATTGGCGGTTATTAATTCCCTACGTGTGTACATTGGTACAGAAAATACTGAAAAAATATCAAGCATTATTTGAGGTACTTACCACCCACACTTGACCAGCTCACATCGGAAACACTGTGAGAGCGAGGCTGATTTATGGTGGACGATATAATAGGGCTGTGTCGAGGTGGTATCGATTCTGCTACAGAAACAATAGTTCCAGGTGCTGGATTAGGACCGCACTCCGTTCCACTGGATTCAGTAACAGCTTTCGTTATTGGGACATCCGACATAATTAAACGTGAAGGCGTTTTAACACGATGTAACTGGATAAAACGAAATCACATCAAAGAATAAAATAACACTACAAAACAAAAAGTATTTTTATAATAATTTACAACTTTTTGATAATGACACATCGATTAACTTTTCTTCAAAACATATTTATCTATATGCTTGGTGTGTATATACACGTGATGCTTTTCGTCTTCTGGATTACTCAAACAGGGCTACAGTCGGGGGGATTTAACCAACTTTGAGCAAAAAGAAAAGAAAGCTTTCTTAAGTGGAAATAGTAACAAAATAGTCTTTTGAATGCCCAAGTTGCAAACGCAAGTGGCAAGCTTCTTATAAATATGACGTATTATGTTTTGTTACAACTGTTTTCAATTTAAAGTTGTTGGCTATTTAATTAGTAATAGGAGTTGAATCAGAACTGCTAGGTCAGCGATTGATGAACATTCGGTATAGATATAAAAGGTTTACTTTACTTTTGATACCACATAATAAACGTCAGATACTTGGATACTTATCATGAATTGAGTAGAATGTCTAGTTTATTCTATGATAGTTTAAGGTTGAGGAAAGTGACTGTTGAGAAAAAACATAAAAGTTACACGTGTTTGATCCTCGACACCACCAAAAGATAATTTTCGTGAGGTGGAATTGCGGAGTGAGCAGAACCAAAACTAGGTGTAAAATGGTAGACAAAGAGCGAATACGAAAATGCTGTCACTCCGAATCAACTGAGCTGGTTGCAGCGTCTGATACAGTTACCTTAACACATTTTGTGTCACGAACGCGAAAATAACGGGATATTGAGGCTACCTAGTGATGGATTAGACTGTGTACTTAAAAAGATCAACCAGCGATACAAACTATAAGTGAAAATGAAAGACAGAGACAGTACAACACATAAATCAGCTAAACATTCGATAAAATGGAGTCATCGAACTGAAAAGTAACAGGTGCCTTGAGCAATGGTGAGTAAATAAGACTAAGAAGATAAGGAAGGTCATGGTGATAAGCAAGAACAGACAGTTGTTGAAACAAACTTAGGGGGAAAAGCATGAAAACGTGAGTAGATAGTGGGACTTTAGTGGAGAAAAATTGGTAAGCGATCCACCAAAAGTAAAACAACTGGGACGATAGAGAGAACAGCCTTATAGACAGTCCCAGTGCCTAAGTTGGTGACTTCAGGCACATGATTGAAATTCAATCCGATTCCAGTTATTTATCCATTCTTGAAAATAGTGCAGAAGCTAATAATACCTGTGCTTGAACCCTTATTGAAGGCTTTCGGAGATACTGATTAGTTTGCATACAAGAGCGAGAGAAGCCCTCTAGATGCCCCCACTGTCTTATATCACAATATTACTTATAATCTTGATCAAAATGCCAAGTATGTCAGGTGTGCCTTTTTAGACTATACTTCAGTATTTGATTTCATCCCATCTGTTTTGCTGGACAAGTTAGCCAAGACACATAGAGTCCTGGATAATTAGCTGGTTGTATTCCTATTTCTTTTGAAGGAAAATTTGTTTATAGAGAGAAACCACTCTATATTATCGCTTGCTGAGGCTGGTGTTCCAGAGACTGCCATTTTTTCTCTTTCTTTCTGTATGATTTTTCATCCTCAGCTAGTATTACTTTTGTCACGTATGCTGATGACTTGACAGTTCTAATGCGTCTCTTTTACCTTAGACTGTTCCCAACTGAACAATTTCTTATCTACTATTAGGCAGTGGTTCTCTATGAATGGTCTCGTGCTTAGTTCTGCAAAATTGCAGACTATAAACTTCGGCTTCAGACGCGAACATAACCTATGTAAAATGCTAAAGTTTTATGATTTCCATTTTATTGATGTCTGTGTACTGGAGAATTTTACAAGTGTGATTTATCTATGTATGTTTTTCTTCGGACCCTTCCTGGTCCTCTTATATCTTAGTAACTTAAAAAATAATCTCCCACCTAACTTACAATATTAGGAAACTGAGAGTATCTGGTGTAACTCAGCTTCTTTTTTTGTGTTGGATAAACTGTGTCTTGCCTATTCTCCTCTATTGTTCCCCTACATCCTTTCCTTGGTTTCTGAGAAGACTATGTTGTACTGCATAAAGTTTTGAAGTTTGTCAGCAGAACTAGTGGTGTATCTCTAAACCTTCTAGTTAAAAGGGTTGTGGACAAACATATTAACTCAGTGAAACATTTGGCAGTTATTTTATCAGATGACCAGCATCTTTTCGCTCAAAGCTCTCTGCGTGTTAATTAACAGGAAAAACCAGGGGCAAGTATATGAGTTAATGTACGAACTACTAAATATAAAAACTCCACAATACCGTATTTATTTCGTTTCCTAAGAGATAAAACAAAGTATTGGAAATGAACTAACTAATCAATATATATACACATATACTTCTGTCCGATTGATGCTATATGATATCCTGAAAATTATGTAAAGTATTTCCCAAATATTTTCAACGACAAAGTTTTTACCCCTAGTTGGTCAAAATCTAGACAGTCTGAATGGGGGCATTGACAGGGTCTTTGGCTGCAGCTAAAATGAGATTGCAATCAAACTTCAGCGAGAAATGACAGCGTGTCCAAACGGGCTAGTACGAAGGGTATTGAATAACTCTGCCCACTGGTTTTTGATTAGAGTGGTTAAGGTATTAGATATGAATCAAGTTTGATTTGACTACTTAAAGTCACTGAATGTACTAGTTTCCAAGAAAAAATATACATCCTCTGGTCAGATAGAAACGCGGTAACAGTTCATAAAGATTCCAGCTTCTGAACCAAGCTGTGTAGCGGACTGTAAACTTAACGGTTACAATTCGTACAACAGCCGAAACGCAGGGTTAAAGACAAGTTAATTTGGCTCAGAATCCAACACTCTAGTGTACACACTCTCATGCATTATACTCATATTAACCATCACACCACATTTCGTCTCTTGAAAGAACCATATCTATTTTTAGAACTTTCAACCATATGATCACTTCTCCATTGTTTATCTTGCTGTTACGTATCTTGATAAGTTGGTGTGAAGTGGCAAATTGAGTCATAATGAGGTAATGCCTCACCTGTGCTGATATTGACTGGCTGACTGAATCCCTGGGATGCTTGCGTATGTACATGATATGCGGCAATGAAAATTAATACGACCTTTACCGACCATCGATAGTACATTAATGTTGCATATTCGACTTGAGTTAGCGAAAATCATGCTTTGATCATTGGGTAACTATAAATTAGACTAGTCCAGAAATCGCTCACAATAATACAAATATCGAGAGTAATACAGTAAACTGAGATAGGCTTTAGATGAAATCCTAGGAATTTATGTTAATATCATAAGATAAAGTCAGAATACCTTGTTGGAGAAACTGTGGCTTAAGCAGGGAAATGTTCGAGAAATTGTATGTTAGTTTTCGAAAAATGCTTAGACAACACTGAGGCTTATTTTTATAATGAACTCCTCACCCCCAGTATTTGAATTTCAGATCATTTGTAACAACTACGTTCTACAGAAAATTATATAGCCGTATTGTCAAAGTTTTAATAAACTACTCATACCACTGAAACGAAAGAGAATATGCTGGTGATTTCCCTACTAGGCAAGTGAAACACAATATGTGAGCAATATTCTACACAGAAAAAAAAACTGTGACATATCCTCTCTTCCAGTAACGACCAGTTTGATGTCACAGTTATTAGTCTCTAAATGATTGTCTGAGCTGCACTTCCTAAAAACTTGAAATTCACTGAGGGCAGACAATCATTAAAAAGCGGTTGAGATGCGAATACATTTGCGCAGAACAGCCGATCTTGTTATAAAATCATACGACTTCGGCTTCTTAAGAAGTATTGTAACATGAAAATTCATTTTACTATAAAGCTTAAGCAAAGACATACCGAGACAAATTTATCCTCTTGAACACTGAAAACTTGGAAAATATTTCTACCAGCAACTGCTACCATTTCAGCCTTCGGATGCACGGCCAGGCAAATCAGTGGGCTATCTGTGGTATAAATAATTGTTTTTTTTTCATATATAAGATCCTTTTTTGAGAATTTATTACTCATCGTAAAATATTCAATGATGGTTGACTTGAAAAATCCCCCTTATCTATGCATCTTACTCTTTTTTATGCTGGAGAAAGGTAAATATCGTGTTGAGGCGTGAAAAACGAGGAATTTGTTAACCGGTTAACGTCAATACAAGTTACGCTAGTAGTGGCGTCAGTATTGATTGCCCACCTCATTCTTCAAGGTAACAATATTAAAACCGTTACGCTTAACATGTAAATAAGAATATGTCAGCAATTCGTGTCACACTGATTTAAAATATATTTGTTTCTTTGGTTCCTAGAGTACACAGAAACCGGGCCTTTTCGCATAGAAATTGATCCGGTTGGGAATGGTCACAACTAATCTCAGCAGTATGAAGGTGGGAAACTGGTAGTTTTTGATCCCTCACCTCCGTCTTTTTAGGCTTTGTTACGTTCGTCCGGCTGCATTCCCATCGTAGGCAAGGCAACCTCTTCTGTTTCCTACTTTCACCTTTTGTGATACAAGAGAGAGAGAGAGTGGAGTATCTTTTGAGTTTCGAGGGTACCACCGTACCAAGGACTTGTAAATCTATCTGTGCATAAGGTTTTAAAACTGTTTAGAGTAGTTCAGGAGTGGGGGTGCCTAGCCGTTTGTTCGTGAAGTATAAACTGGCTCTCGTTCTGGGTGCCTTTCCCTTGTAATCTTGTAATCTTGTCTGTACGGTGTAGGGGGAGTTGAGATTCAGGTCTTCTGCAAGTACCAAGGTGACGATGTGGTCGCTGGACTCTTAATCGGTGATCCTTGCTTCGTGGCTTCTGGTGCAAATTACCTTGCACTTGCCTAGGTTGAAGCTCAAGCTGTTTCCTGAAGACCATGATTCTGTTTGCTACATGTCTCTTGAAAACTCTGCAGTCGGCATCTTCATCAAACACATTCCCAATTTCAGTGTTGCCAGTAAAGCCAAGGACAGGAAAGGAGCCACTGTATATGCGACCACTGAGGAACAGCAGGGAAAGAACTGGCCCCAGGATTTCTCCATGGAATTCCTCCGATTTTAAACGCTTCCATTTGGACCCAGTTAACCTCGCCTGGTTAACTGCTTCACCAGTCTACTAGTCGGTCCTAAGCCCGGATAAAGAGGGAGGGCTGGGTATGGGGCCAGCAAACCCGCTTCGGGAAGGTTAATCCAACCCCTAAAGAAGCTTCAAAACACAGAGAAAATACAAAACATACGGTTAAACCTATTCCCCGTTGGAATCAGATAGGTGAAATGACGCCGGTTGGTTAAAGCCTTTGGAAACCAACTGATCGATATACCTTCTCTCGATGAAAGCAAAAACACGGATATTAAATGTTCGCACAATGTTCGGAGCCGGCTGGCAAGGCTTCCCAGACTCCAAAAAAAGATTAGAAGGTGTAGCACAGAAGTGTTAGGAATCTGCGAGAGCAGGTGGAATGGAAGTAGACTCTCCAAACTGTCAACCGGATAGGAGCAATAACCTACTCCGATATTGTCAACCAGATGACAACCACGAGCACACTGAGTTTTCAAGTGGCCATCATGACGTCTCCAAGAGCACACAGTGGGAACCAGTTTCATACTGCATGATCATGACAACAAGGTTCAGCTCAAAAGGAGGGAAGATCACAAGCAAACAATACACATCAGGGAGGAAGGAGGAATTCTATAGACAACTACAATCAGTAGTGGACAAGATCCCACACCAAACGGCGACATCAAAATTCTAATGGGTGGCGTGTTTTGATCATATACCTGGAGCGGACAATACAGGAAGAGGGCCAATCATGAATGAGAGGCACTCGGTGAAGTGAGTGGTAGTGGAGAACTGTTTACAGACCTCTGCATATTTATTGACTTGGTGACTGGAGGCAGTATTTACAAGCACAAGGGCATCCACAAAGCGACATGAGTTTGATTTCACCAGGTGGACATGCTAGAAATCAGATCGACTTCATATCAACGGGAAGAACGTGAAGACACAGCCCACTAGACTTAAGCCCAAGAAGAGGAGCAGGTTTGGGTTCAGACCACTTGCTATCTAGTGTAGGGGACCCTCAAAATCAAGATGAAGTTAGTGGTGAACCACAGTTAAAGTTAAACACCCAGAACAGAAACTAAAGGACAAGACTATAGGAGACATCTTCATATCCGCTATCATAAAAAATGGGAGACACTAAGCTACATCTCTGAAGAAACTTTGATGGAAGAACACTGAAACTTTCTGATAGAGATGTGGGAGGAAACCTACATGACAGTGTTAGAGAGGGAAAAGAAAAAAGACAGGGAATGGAACGCCACAGATACATGGAAGCTAATAAAGGAGGGAGAGGAAGATGGTGCTGGTGATGCAGAAGATGAACTAGTGCAGTGCAGGGAGGAACAATGAAAAGAGGAAGTGAGTACAACTCATACAACACTGGAGGAGTGCATGGAAAGACAAAAGACACTTTGACGACACTGATAGGCGGAGCAGAACGAAAAGCAGGTTGGAGAGACTTGACAACACTATATCAACTAACCAGGTTACTATCTGGGAGGAGATCGACACAGACGAAACCAATGAATGATAGTGAAGGAAACCTGGTTAATACAGAGGCGAAACAAAGGGAGACAATAGGCTGACCACTTCAGAAGAGTCTTGAATCGACCACCACTAGCACTTGCAACTGGTCCAGAAACACAACCGGCAACCGCAGAATTACGAGTGAACACAAGCCCTCCGAAAAAAGCAAAATCGAAGTCGTAAACTCCACAATACTGCTGAAATCCGGGAAGGCAGCAGAAGCAGACAGAGTTCCCCAGAAGCACTGAAAACCGAGGCAGAGACAGCAGTGAACACTCACACCACTTCTGTTGCAGAAAAATTGGAAAGAAGGAAGGGAGGGTACATGCTGATCGATCGGAAGAAAGGCCACCTTGTCAAACCCCCAGAGAAGCGCGACCTAAATCATTGCAAGAACTGGCGGGGAATCATGCCCTCGGCCACCACAAGCAAAATATAAAGACGCATCATGCTGGAAAGATTAAAAGGTGCTCTGGATTGAAAAGTGAGACCGGAACAGACTGGCTGCCTCCAGAGAGAACAAATCACCTGCAGATCAAATTGCAACGCTATGCCACACATCTCAGTAGAACAGAGCATAGGATGGAAGTCAACTCTCAACCTTACCTTAACTTCATCGATCTCGAAAGGCCTACGACAGCGTAAACTGAGAGGTGGTTTGACAGGCAGATGCTTCGACGCGATGGAGTACCACTGATCTCTACCAATCTCATTCGACATCTATATAAGGGCGCCACATGCCAAGTGATTCACAATGGAAAGCTCAGTGGTGCCCTTGAAGTGAAGGCAAGGACAAGACAAGGCTGCCTACCATCACCAATGATCTTCCTGATCGTGTTCGACTGGATCATGGAATAAACTGTGAGAAGTGAGAAGATGGGCGTTCGCTGTTTGGCCGGTGATAACAGCCTGGAAGATTTGGGGTTCACCAACAATGATTTATATCTATTGTTGCACAGACTCGAAGATCTGCAGGTAAAAACCAACAGACCGGCAGAGTAGGCAGAGAAGACGGGACCCTAAGTGAACGTAGAGAAGACGGAGGTGATGGAGATACCCAACCAACAAGAGCGTCAACAACACGCGCCAATCACCATTAACGGGAGAAACCTAAAAGAAGTAGTCTCTTTGACTTACCTAGGCAAGCAGCATCGTTTCAACTACAGGCGGCACAGGCACAGATGAGGACGCCAAAGGCAGGACCGGAAAGACAGTAACAAAGGTCTTCAGTGTGGAGATCTACTGCACTGCACTTCGCTCAGCATGATGCGTGGACAAGATCCGGATTTTCAACAACAATTCACTCCAGTCAGTCAGTGCTTCTACGTGATAGTCGAGAGACCTGACGCTGCATGGAAGGCATTTCCGACAAGCTGTAGGTATTCATCGACAGCTGCAGACTACGCTTACTCGACACTGAAGATCAGATAGGTGGCCAGAAAGAATAAGCAGCAAGGGACTCTGGCAATGAACCAACCAAGAACCCGTCGCCCAACAAACATGAGGAAGAAGGCAGAGGAGGACTGGGCATTCGCTGAGAAGGCAGTTTGGGTACATCGCGTGCGGGCCCTTGAGTGAAACCCAACTGGGGAACGACCAGTTGGGTGTCCGTGGCGGGGGTGACGTGGAGAAGATGGTGCGATGAAGAAGTGAACGTTTGCGGGAAGTGATGGAGCCAAGCTCACAGACTGCGGAGGACAGAGTGCAATGGAAGCGCTCTACTGAAGCCCTATGTTCCACTAGGAACCCAGCAGACAAACAATAATAACTTGGTCCTCATACCGTTGACTCACAGGGCAATCCTTCATAGTCTCATTATTGAGGTTTCTATGGCGACGAACGGTGTTCAGTGTCTCCGGTTGCCTGGCCTCGTCAGTTATCCTGGAGGAGGTTAACACTACATTACGTCTGTGGCACTGTGGTGGCCAAAACACATGATTTCTAAATGAGAGACCCTTCGTTGGTCAAAGCACATTCCAGGTGTGACGCTAGTATCCGATATCTTTTAGGCACTTGTAGTAAACTGAATACCTTGAACTCTGGTGTCTAGGTTCCACGTACTTGGGTCACTGCTGTGGTTGTCTAGAAAGTCTTTTTCGAATTCTCCTAATTAGCTCCCGAGAATGCATTTCTTTTAAGCATTTTCGTTCTGCAGTTTTCGCCTCAACGAGTAAAAAGAGATAGAGTCGCTGAAAAGATTAGTGATCTTTTCGCAGCTCCTGTCTATACAGGGCCCTTCAGCCTTAAGGAGCCAGCATAAATTTAGCAGCAAGCAGAAGAAAGCGTGAGAGAGGGGATTCAATGTATGCTTGTGTTTAGCAATATCACCTCTACTAAGTCAAAGCATCCTTTCTTACAAGGAGAGATAAGGTACAATGATAAATAGAATAACGGATCTGCGTTTGTGTACTAAATATTTCTTATACAACTTTGTGCCCCACTGTTTCTCCTTGTTACGGAGGTGTTTTCGCAGCACTGCGTACTTCTTAGATCGGTGATTCCCAGGGCTGTGTTTTGTGCCTATGCTGTTTAGTAAATGTTGTAGCTGAAGAACCATGGAGGTATGTTAGATCCTAGCGTTTATTCTCATATATACATCTTATTTCATGAGTGGCTTGT